TATTCAGTTCATTATAGCCATATTGGCGCTATTTACTGGTTATATCGATCGTGGTATTTGAATGTTGCTTTTCTTTTATGCTAATTCAATTTTCTCCCAATCATTCTCCCCCTCTTTGAGAGACTCCAGTCTATCAAAAATTCTTAATTATCAAACTCAAAAAGACACAATCTCGTAATTGGTCGTATAAATTCTTTTTCGCCAATTTTGACTTTTACAACTCTTACACGTCCATCTTTACCTTTAAAGACTTCCATAATTCTATCAAGCGGGCAATGTCCTCTAGGTGTATCTGGAGAAATTACTAGTACAATGTCATCAGTTTTTATTTTGTGTTTTTCTTGATTCCATTTATATCTTTTAGATAAAGATAGAAGCCGTTCTCGCATCCACTGTTTGTAAAAATGACGTAGTAGTTCTTGCACTCGACGCCAGCGCTTTTTAGGATGATAGCCTTTAGATTGAACTGAGTCAGGTGCAAATTATCCACTAACTTGCCCAATCAAAAAAAGATTTGGAGTTAATGGAATATCATCTTTTTTATTGGCACTTTGATACATTAGTGGGCAAGAATTTAATAAACTCTCAGCACCTGTAAATAACGTACAGAGTTCTTCATCTGTAATATTGGCTTTTTCGAGTATCCCAGTCACTGCACGTTTGACAGCTTTGACTATTATTTTAAATACACTGCCAAGATGAGGTCCTAGCGGAGCATTAAAGTGCCACTTAATTCCTTTATCAGCTGTAGAGTTAGTAATTTTATCCTTATCTAAGTCGTTGACAATTTCGTTTAGTTCTCGACATCCTCCAACAAAATTTGTTCCATTGTCCGTTAAAACTTCTAATGGTAATCCTCTTCTATTCACCATTTGATAAAAGGCAAAGTTTGTATCTAGATTATAAGCCATCTCAAGATGTTCTGCTCGTGATAGTAAATAGGTAAATAAGCACAAGTATCTCTTTTGTTGTATCTTTCCTCTACCTTGCATAGTAAGAAATGGACCAGCAAAATCGATAAACATTGTTGATAAGCAACAGCACCGTAAGCTTTACAAGATGCATCCGTAAAATCGTGGATTGACCTATTTGTAACTGTTGAAGTTGTTTGTAAACATCTGGGAATGTTTATTTTTGGGAGATTGTTTAGTTCTTGAATCCATTGATCAACATTATTTGCAATCCTATCCGGAATTGCATCATCCCACTCAATTCCATCAATCCACAATTCTTGCATAATTATTTTGATTCGAATAATATATGGTGCTAAAAAACTCAATGGGTCGAACAACGTTGCCATTTTTTTAAGCAAAATTCGTTTTGTATATGCCGTATTTTCTTTGGTTGCAACAGAATGAAAACTAAATAAATCAGGTTTTGCTTTCCAGACAACTCCAAGTGTTTTCATTGCAGGCAATTCTCCAAAATCTAAATTTATATGTTCTGCACAATCATTTTCTGGTGTTATTTTAAGAACTTCGACCAAGTTTGAAAGCTACTTTTGTGCAAACATTCCTGCTGAACCCCATAGTAGCGTGAGTTCCTTGTATAATTGAATTCCAACTTTTTCATCAACTACAGAAGTTATTGTGTTGTCCATGTATGTTGCTTCAGAATAGCTTCAGAAGCCAAACCAAATTTTTGCGCATACTTTCTTGGGTGTTCTTGCCTTACAAATTGAGCCATAGAATGCGCTGAGTTGATTCCAAATACCAGTTAATTAAACTGAAATACCTCATGCTTTGCAGTTGGATCTAGGTTTCTCCATAAAATTGTTTGTACCTTTGATCATCTTTATGTATTCCAATTTTTAAATACATTTCTGCTATATCACAAGCTAAAGCCACTGGGTATTTTGGAAATCTCAGTAAAATAGTCATAAGGTCTTGTTGAAGTTTTGAACCTTGATAAAAAACATTAATTGATTTACCATTATATTTTGCAGATCAATCAAACACAATTCTGACTTTTGTAGTTGATTTATCAGGACGAAGAATTGGAAAATGTGGTAAATACCAACCATCTCCAAGATCCCTTTTATTAATTTTCTCCAAGTATCCCTTTTCTTGATACTGCTTAATAATATTATTGTACTCTTCTCCAAGACTTTTGTTTTTAATTAGGTGTTTTTCCGTGTTTTGTAAACTGTTTAATGCCATTGCATAATTATTGTCCAAATGTCTATTACCTTTCCATGGTAGTTTTAGCTCATATATTCCGTTCTCAGTTTTTAGCAAATTAGTTACTATATTAAGGGCGGTAGAGTCTTCTGTACTTGTCATTGCTTTTCTAAATTGCATCTCTTTGTCGCCTTCAGTTTCCCATAATTTTTTAATGGTGTTGTTTGCATCTTCTATTTCCTTTGTACTTGATAATATTTTCTTAAAATGGGTTTAAAGGAATCCACCAGTACCACCAACATATGTCCATCCAAGCGGCGTGAGTCAAGCCACTGGTTCATTAAATCCTCCTTTTACATCCAATTTATTTTCTTTTTTAGCATAATCCACACTGATTAGAATGTCAATTTTTGGTTTTGGTCCAATATTTGGGAATTCAATTTTTCTTAGATGTTTCCAACTGTTTGACAAATTTGCTCAATTAATTGCTTTTAAATTTTCCAGTTACATTATTAACTGTAAAACTTTCCACTGTAATTTTTGTTTCTCCATTCAACAATTTCAACTGAAATTCTACCGGCATCATTTCGAAAGTTCAAATATGTCTTGGTACTTCCATCGTCAAGCAATGCATTGACCACAACTTTTTTATTTCCATTACGAAGAATAACTGGCACCGTTCTAAGAGATATGTAGTTCATGACGTGATTTGAATGAAATTGGATGTTCGACCTGTGAGAATTTTCTAATATCGTGTCTTTTTCTTTGAAGTCTTCAGAAATTATTTTATTTTGATGTCTTTTTTTGTGAAGCAATTGATTATGGGTATCTTCTTCAACAATAAACTTTTTTAGAGTTTCAACATTTTCATTTAATTTGTTTTCATACACCCATCGTTTGTATCTAATTAACATTATTTCAGGAACTTTTTTTGCAGCTGATGGTACAATGTCCCATCGCCAAGTTCTTTTGTTCGATTTGCTTCTTTTAAGTTTGTTACTGCCACATTTAACAAAACCGCAAACCTTTCAATGTCAAGTCTTTTGGATTATTTTCCCTCATAGGTTTAAAGTTGTTAAAGTTGTTCATCCAAATACATAAGGATTTTTCTCCTTGTTCCGCCATATTTTCTTTGAAGTCTTTCTTTCGCAGCTTTATAAGCGAATGACAAATACCCAAGTCCTTTAACTGCTTTAAATGTATCTCCACATAAATATTGATTTAGCTGAAGTAATTTATACTCAGATGTCGCTGGGGCTTGATCAATACATGCGTAGAATGAAGCTTTCCAATTTTCATAGTTCTTTTTATCGCCATTAAACATTGATATAGAGACGCGTTTTAGTTGTTTCCATAAGTCATGTCCAATTTTTGCAGTCTTTTGATCCAAATCAATTATTTCATTTTCCATTTTACACATGATATGCGTTGATTTGATTGGTTCCATTTTGCTACTCCCATTTTCTTCTTTATTATCTTCATACTGGTCATTACTTTTTTTGAGTACTTAATCATTGATAAGATTGCTTTTTTGTTTCCATATTAAGTTCTTTTTCCATCCTTTGATGTTTTAAACTTGATTTTATACTTCCATTGTGTAATATCCATTTGTTTACATGTTCCATAATTTCCGCAAATTGGTCGTTTAGTTTTTCAATTTTTTATGAGTTTTCCTACATTTTCTTTTGATTCCAGAAGTTCGTATTTCTTTGATAATTTAACCATTATCTCGAGAGTTTTGTTTTGAGTCTTTGTTAATTGGTTACTCAATTTGTGTAACTCATTTTTACAATTGGGTTCATCATCTCGAATCGTGTTGAAGAAACTACTCTCTGCTACCAATTATGATCCGATGGCGATCACAAATAATACCAAATATGTATTGTAACTTATATTTTTAAGATCTTGACCATTTTTTACATTAACTATATCACTTATATTCTTTATATTTTTTCATCTCAAAAACAACAACAACAAAACTCTATTTATACAAAAATTTCGTTCAATAACAAAAAAACACTATTGTTCAAATAGTCGCCATGTAATTGTTATTTAGTTCGTTATAGCCATATTGGCGTTATTTACTGGTTATATCGATTGTGGTATCGAAATGTTGTTTTTCTTTTATGGTAATTCAATTTTCTTCCAATCATAATGAATTATTTGTTATGATTTTAAATATTATTTAAATTTATTTTAATTAATTAAATTTGTTTTGTTTTTATTGTTGTTGTTTTTATTTGAATTATTGGATGCTTTTAATATAAATCCAAGTCTCGTGACAGGGGAGGTGTTATAAATGATAAATTTTTCAACTAATGATTAATTCACATTATCTATTCATGTAGCTGAAGTTTTGACATTTATTTATTTTGGCCTAATGTTAGCTATAATTAAAGATATTTAGTCCTGGAAAGTCCTGGAATTTATAACTTTTTTCTATCTGGTGGGAACCCTAATTATTATTTGATTAGTTTTGTGGATTGCCTAGGTATAAAATGGTTTGATAAACAATACTTTTTGAAAAGCGGATTCAAAGTATATAACTATACTCTATATTTGTTATAACTTAAAGTGTGCAAAAGAAAATGTCTTTCATACTAATGACACCACATCTTAACCAGTATATATAAACAAGTTTAAAACCAAAAATGAAATTTCTCTATACTATAGATTAAAATTTTTGTTTTAATTTTAAATATATATAATTTCTTAACTTTTTGATATATATAATTTCTAAACTTCTTGATATATTCAATTTCAAACATTTAATATAATTTCTAAACTTTTTAATATATATAATTTCTAAACTTTTTAAGAATTTTTTTTTTAAACTAATAATTCAACTACTCTATGTGTTTAATTAAAATTTTTTTTTAGAATATAGATAGCAACTCAACTGCAGTTTGTAACAGTATATTAAAGTTATTAATTGAATACAATTGTGAGGTGAGAAATATAATAGTATATTAAAGTTATTAATTTTTACCGAGTTCAATTCCCACCACGTCCCTGGTAGTACCGCGCTCAACTTGTTTCTCCGCGCAGCGGCCTTGTTTGTCAAGGTTTGTGTTTCGGAGTTATAGAGTTGAGAAAGGGTTATATAACCACAAATAAGTAGCCTCCTTGTCTGTAGTGGCCTTCTTGGTCTTGAGGAGGTGAATTAACAAAAAAAAAAAAAAAATTGAATACAATTGTGAGGTAAAAAATATAATAGTTTATTAAAGTTATTAATTGAATACAATTGTGAGGTGAGAAATAATATGAGTTATTTTGTCTTTATGTTGAATAATATGAGTTATTTTGTCTTTATGTTGTTATGTAAATAATATGAGTTATTTTGTCTTTATGTTGAATATACAATAATTTTTGTTGTTGTTGTTTCTAGATACCGCAACTTGTCAGCCATGTTATTACAACAATAGAAGCATTTTTCCCACTTTTTCATTATTCTCAAACAAATCTCTTGCCAGTGTTTAATTTGGTATGTATATTATTTGTATAATAAACTTTTATACTTTAAATGAATTTTTTTACATTAAAATGGTGCAGCAGCCAGAACAGTTTGTAAAGGTTTCCATTATATTTGAAAATATCTTTTGCTAATGATAAATTTTTTTTCATACCAGTATAAAACTTTTTTGAGCTTGCACGAGAATGTCTGTCCAAAATATCAAAAATATCACATTTTAAAAATTTCTAAATCTATTAAAATTCTTGCTTTGCTAAAGTGACTATTTCTGCTACTCTTGTTGATTTCTGTGATTAAAGTTTTTAATCGGCACAATTTCTGTGATTAAAGTTTTTAATAAATTTAATTGAATTTTTTTAATTGAATTTTAATTAACAGCCAAATAAAAAAACTTAGCCATAAGTATTTTAATAAAGGGCAATCAATGTTGACAAACAATTGTAATGGAATAATCAACTAGTAAAAATGATCATTAATTAATTGTTGTATCATAAAATAACTAATAAATAATAAGGTAAAAAGGTTATACTAATGATACACAATAACCCCAAAATTGTTTCTTTTTTTAAATTTAAATAATTTATTTTGTCAGATGGCATAATAATAGTTTTAACCTTCATTAAATGACAGCATTGCATTTCTGTGATTTGGAAATGCAATGCTGTCATTTAATTTTAACAAAAGTTAAAAAGACTAAAAATCAATTATTTGTTATAGCATAACAAAAGTTTATATTGTTAATGACAATGACAAAAAAGCACAAAAAAGCAAAAATGTAAAAAACTAGTTTTGTAATGGTACTAAGGAAAAAAATTATTTTTACCTCAATTGTGTAGAATTCCAGTTTCTCTTGTTGACTTATGATTGAATAAGTTTCAAAACATGAAAGTTTACTAAATTAAACCGATAATACAGAATTAAGCAAATGAAAACATTTATAACAATAAAGAGTATAAACACATAGTTTGTATGAGATTTTTAAAATGGCGTCATGGCTGGTAATGAATGTTTGTCAACTTTAAAAGCCGTTTAATAAGCAATCTCATTCTTGGACATGACATACAATTGGACATGTGACATACAATTAGACAATTGACATACAATTGGATATGTGCAAATCAAATCAAGAGATGAACATTAATTTATTAAGTTTCAAAATAAACATTAATGTATCAAAAAATTAAAATCAAGCTAACTGAATCAATTAGAAGCAAATACCTTTTTACAGTCAAAAGTTATGGTATGTATATGTAAATATGCTATGCTTCTTAAAATTTAATGAACTGATAAAAACATTAGCAAAATTCTGAACCTATTTGCTATTAAGCTCTGTCAAAGTATTCAACATAATAGGCAAATATACTGTTATAAAAACTTGTTAAACTAAGTATCTACAAAAATTTCTAGTTTGCAAATAAATTACATAGCAAGGAATGGCCAAAAAATTGTGTTAAATGAATTTAAATCATAGCTTTATTAATTAAAGATAAAACTTACTAAAAATAAATAAATCCTACTTTCAAATTTCTAAACTTAGTTAAAGATAAAAAAAATGTAAAAATAATACACCCTGCTTTATTTAACTCAATAAAATGTAGTATATAACAATAATTTAAAAATATATTCTTGATATTAGATTGATCTTATAATATTCTTGATATTAGATTTATCTTATAATATTCTTGTTTGGCAGAATTTAAAATACCATAAGTTACTGTTATAATTTACAGCTTAAGTTATAATTTAAAGTTTAAGTTGATAATGACAAACATTATGGTTTTCATTCGTAGCTTTTGCTGGTCTTGGATTTTGAAAATAACACTCAATTTTTTTTTAATGTACTATGTACATAAACAACTTTAGGTTCTGCAGAATAATGACAACATTCCTTGACAAGTCTTTTTTATAAAATACTTGTAAAAACTTGTTCAGAAAATATCTAATAAATATCTAATAAAGTTTATTACGTGTTAATAACATATAAGACTTTAACGAGTCTTTGTTTACAATCTTTGTATACAAAACTGGTTGTTTTGTATACAATATAGTAGTATACAATATGTTTTGTATACAATATAGAGTAGTAACTTAGCTGGTTGTTTCGATTTAGTTTATAGGTAAATTTACTGTGCTCCATTAAGTAAATTAAAATAAATGTAACTTTAAAATATTATTGGCTTCCACTCAGAGGTTCAAATTATTATTGACTTCCACTCAGAGATTTAAAATAATATTGGCTTCCACTCAGAGATTTAAAATATTATTGGCTTCCATGCAGAGAATAATATTAATTTAAATTCAAAAGTTCTATGTTGAATAAAAATCTCTGTACAAGAGAGCAAATGATCATACTTCTTTTCTAAAGGTAAATTTAGCGTGGCTTACTTTATAACCCCTAATAAAAAACTTAGACAAGTACTCTATACTTTTAAGAATGGCCAAATAAAAATGCTAAATTAGAAAAAAAAAAAAAGAAAAGAAAAAAAAAGCAAGTTGCAAAGGTGTGAAAAGCAATCATGATTCGCGATACACTTAATTTGAGCCCTGCCATGTTTTTTTTCTTGAATATGTTTATTCATAATTGTATAATAATTCAATAAAGTACAGGCATATTTTTTACCCCCAAATTCAATATTATTGAAACACAAATATCAGCTGTGTTTGCTAATATTTTTTTTCAATGAGCTTAAACACATAATTATTTTTCAATCTTGTAAGTGTTACAAATGTTTTTGATGTTTACTAATAGCTGTGTTTAAATGAGTTTATACACTTAATTATTTTTCAATCTTGGAAGTGTTGCAAATATTTTTGTTGTTTGCTAATCGTTGCGTCCAAATGAGCTCAGGGCACGACAAATCGTTTTTTTTTTAATAAATGTTGATTATACACACACATGTACACTAGGGTGGTTCAGATTTAGGTCAAAACTTTTTTTGGACCAGAGTGGAAACTTAAAAGGTGTGCAAACCCTTGTTTTATATATAAGATTTTTTTTTAACTTTAAAAAAAGTTTAAAGGCGGCACATGGCCCCAAAGTACTTTTTTTATACCCTTTTTTGTCATTTTTTGACCCCATGTGTGTCACCCTTAAACAATATTAAATTCATTTTTTTTTTCTATATATAAACTCTCACAATGACTAATATAAAAATAAAATTAAGCACTCTAACTGTATTTTTTTTCTCAACACTGCACAACTTTTAGAAAAGTCAAAAACTAGACAAAAAAAATGATTTTCCCTATTTTATGGATAGCGGCAACATTTTTTGGTGATTGAGATAGATAACTTGCAGACATGGAGCAAACTTCAAACTTGGGTATATTTATACTTAGGTAATTTTAAACTTGGTATGTTTAAACTTGGGTAATTTTATATATCCAGGTAGTAAAACATCTGGTCCAGAGAACAAGCCCTTTAAACACCTAAAATTTGTCTGGAATGATCTTGAAAAAGACACAGTTCCATTAATAAGGGTTCAAACTCAAACAGAAACTTGGTTAAATAAACAAAATCTTGAGGCTGAACAGTTCTACAGAGATGTAATAGATAATAGGTTCCTGTTCTATTGCATTATGCAATATGCATGGCAAAAGCTTTGTATTATCTTAAAATGTATTTACTATTGGAAACCAATCCAAATTTATCAGAAGAAAATATAGAAGAGATTTGTGATATTGTTATGTTTGTCGGCATCTTTTACACTCAGTAGTTTTTTAGAGTAGCATTGCCATCTGTTGCCCCATATCAGGTTAAAAATAATAATTATAAATAAAAAAACAGCATAAAAAACAATTAGTTAATTGTTTGATTAATGACTTAATCTAATATTGTTAAAATATTGCATAGGATATGAAAGCTCTGTTGCAGATGATAAGGTTCATGGATATAAATCTTCTTAGGGCTACTTCAGTATTAAAATCATTTGATAGACACAGTTGTTATCTTGATCCTGCCTTAGTTGTGCTTTAGCAGATAAACATTGCCAAAACAGAGAAGATAATGCCAAAGCATTGAACAATATACTTCTTGCCAAACCAAACGTGTCTCCACTTAAACATTTAATAGTCAATAAAGAGCTTTTTCAGTCTCTAGACTTTGCATGAGATCAGTTTCCATTTTTTTGTTCTTTAGTAATTTAGTAATCTTGGCTCATCTTTGATAAGATTGAACATGGAAAAAGTGATTTGCAGTGGCTTAAGTTCCCTTCGCAGTTCTGGAAGTTCAACAATTTTTATCTTGAATTTGAATCTGCTATTAATCCTATGATGTAGTCAATGACTTGTCCGAGAGGGCCATTAATCTAGTTAAAGAACTGATTGGAAAATCAAACAAAGAAAAAAAGTGACAGGATTTGTTATTGCTTAACTATCTTTACAAAAGAAGTAAACATGGGGCAAAAAAAAAAGATTTAGCATCCAATATAACAAAAATTATTTTTATATGTTAAGTGTTAATAGTTTAAAGTCTAATATGACATTGATTTTATTTTTATTTCTTCCCCCTCCTCCTCCCACAGCTTGAAAGAAAGGCATATTATTAGGGGAAGGCCATTCCGCCTTCCTCTAGATTTATCTCTAAGTTTAACATCAAAAACAATAAAATATATTATAATAGCTTATATATAATTCCGTTTAACTGGTTAGATTTTGTAATAAACAATACCATAGAAATACAGGGGTTGCTGCAGCTTTTTTTGGTTATTAAGATAAATAACTTTCAGACATAGTCCAACCTTTAATATTGGTTATGTTTATACTTATATTAATTTTTTTTTTTTTAACATCGCTTCCAACAAGGCTGCAAGCAACCATTAATTAGTGTTGGAAGTTACTGGAAGAGAAAAGATGAAGATTGGAGAGCAAGATAACGATTGACAGACGACTTAAAAGGTTGCAAATTATATGAATCAGGAAAGCAAGATGAAGGAAGTGAATTCCAAATAACTGATGTTCGAGGAAAAAAACTAGACGAATAAGAGTTTTTGGAGCACTTAGGAACAGTAACAGAAAAAGAATGAGACTTAATTGAATGACGAGTAACACGAGAATGAATTTTAGTAGATGGCACAAGAGACGCTAGCTCTTTCGAGCAGTACCCATTATAGTATTTGTAGTAAAGGGAAAGAGAAGCAACATTACAACAATGTGACAGAGGTTGAAGGTTGGCTGCAAGAGCAGGTCCAACTATGTTTACAATGCGTTTTTGCACCTTGTCTAAAAGAGAAAGGGCATCATTAGAAGATCCGCCCCAGATATGGCAACAGTATTCCATACAAGGTCGGATTTGAGATTTATAGAGATAGAGAATAGAATCCAGAGTAAGAAAGTGTCGAGCTCGATAAAGAGATGCAACTTTAGCAGATGCTAATTTTGCAACAGATTTGATATAAGGTGTCCAAGAAAGATCAGAAGTGAGAGTTGATTCTAGAAGATGAAGGGTAGATGACTCATCGAGTACATTACCGTTCATAAATATAGTAGGGTCTAAATTATTGCGATAACGATTGGCTGAAAAAAATTGAGTTTTATCTGAATTAAAGTTCACCAGCCACTGTGAGCCCTATGCTGTAGCTGAAGTGAGATCCTTTTCAAGCTCAAATGCCCCTGCAAGCAATCAGAGGGAGTTGGCTTCTTATCGTGACAAGAATAAATGGAGATGACAAGAATAAATGGTAAATGAGAGTACCTTGTAAAAAATTGTAAACTACCAAAACCCTAAAACCCAAATGTGAGGGCAATAAGTTATTAAGTTTTATACAATTGTTATTTCAAACTAAATTTATATTCATTGACAGGTTTCAAATTTCATCTAATAATATTTTAGTGTTCAAAAGTTATGACAATATAAAGTTTAAAACCCCCTTATTTTGGGGAGGGTGGAAATTTTACATAGTCATAATTTTCAAATGCTAATGTATTATAAGGTGAAATTTGAAATCTGTCAATGAATATAAATTTAGTTTAGAAAAGCAATAGTATAAATCTCAGTAACTTATCGCCCTTATAAGTAAATTTTTATAAGTACATTTGGAGTTGGGGGGCACAATTTTTAGGGTTTTTGTAGTTCCCAGGCTCCAATCACCCCAATGTTTTTTGAAGCATCCTAATTTGATATAAGTATAAACATACCCAAGTTTGAAGTTTGCTCCATGTCTGCAAGTTATCTATCTCAATCACCAAAATAAGTTGAAGCAATCCATTAAATAGGGAAAATCATTTTTTTTGTCTAGTTTTTGACTTTTCTAAAAGTTGTGCAGTGTTGAGAAAAAAAATACAGTTAGAGTGCTTAATTTTATTTTTATATTAGTCATTGTGAGAGTTGATATATAGAAAAAAAAATTGAATTTAATATTGTTTAAGGGTGGCACACATGGGGTCAAAAAATGTCAAAATAGGGTATAAAAAAAAGTACTTTGGGGCCATGTGCCACCCTTAAACTTTTTTTAAAGTTAAAAAAAAATCTTATATATAAAACAAGGGACTGCGCACCTTATAAATTTCCACTCTAGTCCAAAAAAATTTTGACCTAAATCCGAACCACCCTAACGTACACACACATGTTTCGGGGAGCCTGATAAAAAATGGCTAGCATCACTCGTCAGGGATGCATCCTTGCTATTTTTATCATCGCCTATAGCCACAAATTTTTTTTGGGCTTATCACTTCTTTTATTTCTTTATATTTACTAATTATAAAATTATCTTTTCTTATCTATATTGTGTGATGCTTTTAGTATCATTATAGCATATAACATGGTTACATTATTGCTGTTTCTGCAGGAAAATATGTTTGTTTTTTAAAACATGTCTGAGCTAGCTTTTAGAATCAGAAGATAATACAAATTTTATGTATAGATGTTAAATCTATAGGTAGTTTGAAGTATGGCTGGGTTGGCTGGATATGGTTTAGGGATAGAATTTTTACGCTGGTTTCGAGTAATACTTGACTCTTTTACTGGAACATGCAATACTTATTTTGACAACCATTGGTATGTGTGTGTATGTATGTATATGTATGTATATATGTATGTATGCATATGTGTGTATATATATGTAAAAATGTTAGTTTTTAGGTTGTCATTTTTTATGCATATGTGATTTTTTTTCCCGCCCATCGAAATGCCAGTAGTAATAAACTTGATTCTGAGAAGTTACCACCACTGCATAAATTATGATCAAACAAGAGCAATAATGTTTTTTCTTTACCTCCTATCATTTTATATTTATTCATTTTAAATATTGATATATTTATTTGTTTTAAGTATGTTAAACTTGTGTATTTACTGTAGATTTATGGTTACTTATGCATCCTTTTTTTTTATTATTACATTTCTGTTACATGCGTGGTGTTAAAATGGTAAAAATTTTATTATTACATTTCTTTTACATGTGTGGTGCTAAGTTATCAATATTATTCTTTATTACACTACTTTACTATAGTATCTTTGTTTTGTTCTGAACAACTGTTCAAAATATATTTTTAATTCTTTTTTAATCCTTTCTCTCTTTCTAGTTTTTTCCTTATTTCACTTGGGGTTGACAGCTCGGTCTAGTCCTTTGATGCATATTTTTGCATTTTTTTATATCATCACATTACTTGACTGTTTTAAATTTTCAACTTTATTTGTGTAAAAGTTTCAGTTAATTTAATCATAATAAACAATTTTTTACTTATTTTTTTATTTTTATTATAAGTTGTATTATTTATTGTTAGTTTTTTTTATATTGATTTTTTTTTAGATTTTTGCTATACTTGGCAAACCACTTGATAATCCTGTAATTGTAAAGTTAAAAAATGTTGCATCCAAAACATTTAAAAATTTATGTCAAGAAATAAAAACCATTTTGATAGTAAGTTTATTGTTTTATAATCATAACTATGTATATAATATACCTTCATGTGATTTGTATATAATATACCTACTACAAATGAATATACCTACATATCATTAAAATAATTTTTTGATCTTTAAAAATTTATTGTTTAAAGTTGTTCTACTTGTTATTTATTTGATTACCTAAATAGTCATGGAAGCTACTTTGTATAAAATAATTTATATGTAGTATATGTGTGTGTGTTTATTATGTATATATATATATATAACACACACACACACACACACACACACACACACACAGATATATATATATATATCAGGCCTTGTGATGAATAAGAACTGCGCGACGCATAAGCACGACGTGATTTTTGACGTCATTAAATTCTTTTTATTTGCTTTTCATATTTATCGACATTAACTGCACCAATTTACTTAATTACCGCAAAACTACTTTAAATCGTTTATGTAGAAATGTTATTATTTAAAAATGTTTTGGAATGTTTCGTTTTTTAAAATGTAAAAACATTTGTTTATTTTCTCGACGTTTGTCGCGTTTTGTCTATACTAAACGAATAAAAAACATTATAACTTAAATTTAAAAAAGATTATAAAATATGCTAATATTTGATTTTTTTTTTCTTAAATATGTAATTTAAAGTTTTTCAAATAATTATTTTTTCTTTTTAAAAAGTCAGCGAGTAATAAACTGAAAATTTTATAGCTAATATTTTTACAAGCGATTTCATATAATATTTATTTATTTATTTTTATTTATTTTCAAAAAGCAGTTGATAAGCACAATCACTCGTATTAATAAAAAACTTAAACGAACGTTTTGAATAATTTTTAATGTTAACAAGGAATTTTATTTCTAGTAAAATAAAATAAAATGTTAGAATAAAAATCTTATAGGTATAAAAGAAATATTTCAGCGAAAAAATTATTCTTAAAATTATTATTATAAATTATTCGAAAAACTATTGACGTTCTATTTTTCAGCAGCTGTTTTTGAGCACACTTTGTTGAGTTTCGGTAACTTTTAACATAAAAGCGATCGTTATTATTTAAGTAATTTTTTTGAGTTACTTTTTACAAAAATTTTAATAACTGTACTTTTTTATTGAATCAAGTAGAATACGTTTTAATATTATTATTTTTTTATTTTTTTATTTGCCCTCACCAATATTAAAATGTTTCCTCGAAATTACTCTGAAATACTTTAAGTACATCTAACAGTTAATAAATATTTTTAAATCTATGGAATAATTTTAAAACCTAACAAACCCCCGTAAAATAATTATCTAAGTTTAAAATTTAAAACTAAAAGAAAGTATTTTTGTTCAATTTTATCGACAACTTTGCTATTGCTGAATAATTTTAATTAAATGTTAGCTTAAAAGATTTAAACTTTTTTTTTAATTTTTGAATTTTTTCTACTTGTAAATAATGAGCATATTTAATTTTTTTAAATTCAAACTTTTATTTCAACAGAGTGCGGTTTTTAAAATACTTTATTAAATGTTAAAATAATCGTAAATTACTTCATTAAAATTCCGCTCAAAAATATCTTTAAATATACTCAAACAAAAATTTTTTTGCTCGACGCAAATAGCCCTAGCTACACACAAAATTGCTCTTGGACGACGTAAAATTCACATCGCCCGACGCTTTATCGCAAGGCCTGATATATATATATATATATATATATATATATATATATATATATATATATATATATATATATATATATATATATATATATATATATATATATATATATATATATATAGAAAGAGAGAGAGAGAGGGGGGGGAGAGAAAGATGTACTTATATATAAAGTTAAAATGCATGTTATTATTGATAAGCGCTCAAAAGATGGCAGTTCTGGTTTCAGTCAATCAACAAATTACAAAAAAAATGACTTATTTTTAAAGATGTGGTTTCAGTCTCATTTATAAATAAATAATAAATGATTTTAGTAAATGCTTGTTGTTTGGATGTAAGAAGAATTTTCATTAAATGTTGAGAAGAAGCTCTTGTATTTACTATGCATAAGAGTGGAAGTGTTGTGGGTTTTGAGGTGGTGTTGAAAAATGGCTGGTAACAGTTATCATGACATGGTTATGTTTGAAAATTTTACAACAGCAGTCAAAAGAACCTTTTTTGGTCAAAAGAGTTATAATTTTAAAGTTTGCATTTGAATTCAGTGCTCAGTCCTTTTAGTTATAATTTTGGAATCTCCAAAAAGTTCAATGTTATTTTACCATGTTGATTCTTTTATGCAGTTGATTTATGCTTGATGATTTGATTCAACATTAGATTCCCTTGAAATTCTTTTTATATAATCTCTTGCATCTTAACTCAATCTAACATCTTTAACTAAACTTTTTTCAATATAGTTGTTAACACTGTTTTCATTAAAAACCATAATTTGAATGGTTAACTTGTCATCATGGTGTAAAAACATATTTTAGTATTGTTCAATGGCAAAAAAATTTTCCAGTTATTTCCAGTCTCCCAGTTACTACACATTTATACTTTTGAATTTCTGATAAAACTTTTACAATGGGGTAAGTACAATCAAAATTGCAATTTTCAAACTAAATTTTCATTGGTTGAAAATTGGATTGGGTTAAAAAGATGAAATATAGAACAAAAAAAAAAAAAATTTATTATAAATATCTTAAAAGAAAAAAGAAGAGCTAGAAGTTACAAAACCTAGAGAGAATGTGTAAGTAGAAAGAAGTAGAAAAACCTAGAGAGAATGTGCAAGTAGAAGGAAGTACAAAACCTAGAAAGAATGTATAAGTAGAAAGAAGTAGAAAAATATCGAGAGAATGTGTAAGTAAAAAGAAGTAGAAAAACCTAGAGAGAATGTGCGAGTAGAAGGAAGTAGAAAACCTAGAAAGAATATATAAGTAAAAAGAAGTAGAAAAACCTAGAGAGAATGTGTAAAATCACTAGATCTATATTTACAAAAATCAGTGGATTTTCATTTAAATAAAAAATCAGTCAATATTTGTTTAAATAAAAAGTTGTGTATATATTTATAACAAAAAAATATATGTATAATAAATTAATGTTAGGATTAGTATTATTACAAGATTACATTTATATTCTCATTATATTAAATACTTTTATAGTTTTTTCAAGTTTTTCAATCTTATTTTTAGCCTTACTTTAATGATTTGCAGGTTTACTTTAATTTACAATTTTCAATCTTATTTTCAGCCTTACTTCAATGATTTGCAGGTTTACTTTAATTTACAATTTTCAATCTTTCAACAATCTGTTTTAACGAATTACCATAAGAATTTACTTATTGAAGGACTATTAGTTGTTTGGTAATATTTCAAATTTTTTCTTGTTTAATACATACATACATTCATACATACATACATACATACATAAATACATACATAAATACATACATACATACATACATACATACATACATACATACATACATACATACATACATACATACATACATACATACATACATACATACATACATACATACATAAATACATACATAAATACATACATACATACATACATACATACATACATACATACATACATACATACATACATACATACATACATACATACATACATACATACATTTGTGCATGCATACATACATAGGTTTATAAATTTTATGCTTTTTATGAATTATTTAGTTTGTTGTATCATATTTTCATAAATTTTTATTAAAAAAATAATGAAGAAGGTTTACTATTTTGAATATTGCATAAAAGTAGTAGACAAGTTCCTGACTAAATATAACTTTTTAAAACATTTTAATCTTTTGAAATCATCCAGAATCTTGTGAAGTCTGAACTTTCTGGTAGTATTTATAACTTAAATACTACCAGAAACTTAAAAAACTCTTCAGAACTTTCAGTAACCCTCTGTAATTTTCCTCTTGAGTATATAAGCTAAATGCTAAATAAAATGTGTTCAGTATAATAAAATGATATTAAAAAATTTGCTTAAAATTTTTTTTAAAGAACCACCCTATTAATTACACAATACTGAATGTGGAGCTATTAGACTTGATTGATCATTTTATTATGTGGGCATATTTTTATTTGATTATTCAGTATTACCAGTAAGGTAATACTGAATGATCAAAAATATATTGAAATCTTTTTATTTTAGTGCAGTTTTGGACGACAGTGTTTGTAAAAAAGAGTTTATAGACAAATTATTTGGTTTTGTATTCCAAGTTTTTAAAAGGAGTGACATACAAAGGTACTTTTGATATTAAAAATAATTAATAAAAAATAGCTGCATTACCAATAGTAAATAGTGTAGTTTTTTTTTAAATCTGTTACTAGATGAATTTATTTATAATACGAATGTCAATTTAAAAGGAACCTTTATCAAACATACCTAATGACAAATATTTTTTTGTTAGTTAAAGAATCAGTAAGCATCTATTGAAATCTGTAGTATGTAGCTGGTAGTAATTCAGAATACCATTTAGCAATTTTTTTTATTACTTGATTGTTAAAAATTGTTATTTAGAATATTTAATGAAAATTTTTTTAAAACTCCTAATTCGCTTATGACAGGATACGCTTGGCTAACAAATACAAGTATTTGTATAAAATATTATACTCAAACTTTTAAAAAAACATTATTTTAAGACTATTTTGAATTCAAATTCCATACTGAATCATCTAAAAATCTGAAACTAATTCCATTCTGAATTGTCAAAATGCTCTGGGCTTTGAACTCCGTGGCCTCCCGGCACACGTCCAATGTGTCTGTGGGTTAAACTGGCACTGCTAACTTGTAAATGTATATATATATATATAATTGTAAAACTGTACTTGTGAATATTTACATATCTGAAAAAATGTTAAGAAATCTTACCTTTGATACCAATAATGTTTTTGAACAAAACTTATACGTGTTAAGTAAATTAAATTATTTTTAACATTAACAATTTTTTAGCATTTATCAGAGTCCTGAGTCTTTGTTATCTTTTTTGGAACTTGATAAGCCAGCCTCATTAACAGGTATTTTTTTTGGAACTTGATAAGCCAGCTTCATTAACAGGTATTTTTTTTGGAACTTGATAAGCTTGATATTTTGATGTATTGTTTGTATATCAGATAAATATATATAGCAGATAAATATATACAACTATTAAGAATATAAAATAATAATATGTTTACGATAAAAAATAAAAATGAATCCTTGATAAAATTATTTTAAAATATTTATAAAATTAAAAATATTTCCATTTTTAGTTTTAAAAATGTTTCATAAATTTAAAAAATATGAAGGTAATTATGATAATGAAGGTAATGAAGATAAGATGATAATGAAAATAATAAAAAACAAGAATGTTTAGAATGTTTTTTTGTTGTTATTCTGTTATATAATGATCATGGTTTGAATAAAAAATTTGAAGGTGGAAAAAGTAATTTCCTCGAACTACCAAGAAACTAAGGAAAAGGGTTCGACAAAACAAATGCTCAACTTAAGCAAAGTAAAACAATTTTTATTGCTTTAAAGAGATTATAGAGAATAGTTAGTGATAACAAAAGTTCGAATTAACCGGTGTTTGACTTACCCGGATTTAAATGTATATTGATTATTTGAATTATATAAAGGCTGTTGTATCACATTTTATGTTTAAATAAAAGACATTGCATATTTGAAGTTAGCTGATGTGATTTTTTTTTGGTTAGTAGATGAGATTACATATTTTTTATTAGTAAAAGTTTATTTTTATTTAAAGTAATTACAAATATCTCTACTAGAGGTGATCCCATATTTTTATTTTGAGTAAATACAAATATTTATAGTAGAGGTGATCTTTTTTACTTTTTTTTATATTTTTAGATGAAATATCACCAACACACAAAGAGGTATTTAAAATGGTTTACAATCTCAATATTCTTGATTTTACAAACTCAATATTCTTGAAAAATATTAAAAATTCAATAAATATTCATGAATAATTAATTTGATTTTAGTTCAGTTTGGCATACATAATTGTTTTATCTGTCTCTCGAACTCTTAATGTTTGCAATCAGGTTTGTTTTTTTATTATTAAAGGCTAATCCCTAATCACTGTAATCCTAAACAAAAAATATCTGATTACTAAAAACTTTGTAAATTTCATTTTCATTTTGAGAATGCTTTACCTATGAAGATAATTTTGAGGTACAAAAAAAAAGTTATAAAATTTTTGAGGTACAAAAGAAAGGTTTTAAGAAAGTCTTGATCTTTATACATTAACAACTGAATCGTCTTAATAATTTTTCTTTTTTTTTTTTAATTTTGTAATTTTTAAATCAAAAGGAAATCAGTTAAATAAAAATAAAAAAAATAAAATGTTCTAATAAAATATATTTTTAATTTAAATCAGATTTGGAATCTATGCTCAAACTTACTTAAGTTTACCCATTTTTAAATAGCATCTTTTTAGCTTTAAAATGGTCAACTTTTTTGAATTAAATAAAGTATTTTAAATTAATAAAGTCAGAAATAAAAAGGAAATTATTAATAGGAACGCAATTAAAAGTTATTTGTAATTGCGGACTTCATTATAAATTTTACTGCAGGCAAGATCTACTACTATCATAGGCTTTACCTGTGAATGAATCAATCACTATATAAAAGTTAAAAACTGGCATCTTTACAAAAAGGTTAAAAACTGGCATATTTACAAAAAAATTAACAATGATTATTTTTTAATTTTAGTCTATCTACAGATTTTCAAATCAATATGCATAATATTAGTTTATAAAAGTAGTTTAGAGTAAAACTTTTTGACATGTTTTTATTTTATTTTTAATAGATAATGAACTATAAACATTTTTTTAGATAAATGACAATGATAACTACTTTGATGGATCACAACACGTTTGGTTACAACACATGATTAATTGCATTCCTTATTTGTTTGATTTCGCGAAGTATGTCTAATCAATATGCCTATATATATATATATTATACTATATATATATATATATATATATATATATATATATATATATATATATATATATATATATATATATATATATATATATATATATATATATATATATTATTGGGAAATGAAAAAAAAAACTGAAAAAAAATCTACTTGAACTATATGTTCGTTTAATAGGTTTAAATAAAAGTTAATAGAAAATTATTATTAGATTAGATTGCTTTACATATTCTTGGCATTCTACTTAACCACTTATCTAGTTGATCAAAGTCAGTTTTATGCTACTCACTAATAAGTTTTTGTTAGTTTTTTCCCCATAGGTTTCTGACATTCATGGTTCCTACAGAGTCTGTTTTCCTGTTTTTTTCTGTTTAAGTCTGACAATGTTTATATATAAAATGATATATTTTATATGAAATGATTTAGGAGGTAATGAAAATAAAAAGTTTTTCAAATAAAATTTACTAATTTTGTTTTAGGTATAATATCAGCTATTACTTAAGATAGTTTTAACATTTTTTTTTTTTTTTTTTTTTTTTTTTTAATATATATCACAGACAAAATATATATCACAGACACTTGTGTCACGTACCATTCTAATTACTTTTAGCAAATAATAACATTGTACTTGAGACATTGTTTGTAGGAAGATTACAGAAGACCTTCTTGGTCAATTTAAAAATGTCCAATTCTTTTTTTGAAGGTTTGAAATCGTTGATTTCTGAGGATATTGATTTGGACCAATCAGCAATTGATTTGCACAGTTTTTTTTACTTGATGTTGAGACATGTCCTTCTCGTTTGATAAGCATTCAAGACGAATTAGTGAGGGTAATGGAGCAGTTTAACAATTTGCAAAAACTATAATTGGGACAGAAACAAAAGAAAACTAAGTGCAGAGTTGGATATGGAAATAGGAAGAAAAAAGATGTTGAAAATTGCGTGACAATTTATGAGCAACCCCTTTTTGAAATTTGATATTGTCAGTCCTACATAAAGCATCATATTTGTTTCATGGCTAGTTTATACCATATATATATATATATATATATATATATATATATATATATATATATATATATATATATATATATATATATATATATATATATATATATATATATATATATATATATATATATATATATGCATTTATATATATACAGTTTTACTGTTTATAAAAAGTTTTTACTTGTTCATTTATCTTTATTTTTATTAAATATATTTTAAATTGTGTCAAAATAGCCTGTTTTTCTAAGAAAAAGCTTTTTTTTAGGCCTTAGCAGCCCTGTTTTTTTTATTTTTTTAAATGTCTTGTTTTTTACCAATGACCCTGTAGGAACCCTGTGACATTACTTTTAAGTCATACTATAAAATTCCATTAGGAGAGAAATCTAGTGATTAGGCCGTATCATTCAGTATTAATTATTTTTGAGCATTCTCTAACTCTGTCAAATAAATTGATGTTGTGAAGTTTGATGTTTTGGATTTAAGCTTTTGGTTGTTCTCTTCTAAAAAGATAAAAGGCTTCTCATTAACCCAACTTTCTCAATGTGAGACATTACTTTTTAAAAATTTCCAAATATCTAAAAATATATAAAAATCTACTTTATTTTCATTTTCTCCTCTATTTTTACAATGTCATCTGTGGCTTTCTGACCAAAACTCCCCTTTCCATAAGTCCACCACATTTCACAGTCAATAATACACACAGTTTTATCATATGTTCAATGACTCGTTCAATGACAAAAAATCTTTTCTTGATACTAAAGTTATTGATGGTCCATTTTTTATATGGTTTTGCCAATTTAAATATTTTTATTGTTTTTATGATTTCATCAAAACTTTTTAATCAAAATGCTTTTATATTATCTTATAATGCAAAATAAACATTAAAAAATTATTAAATTAAAACATTTTTTAGAAATGTTTATGTCATTTCAATAATTATGAATGGTCATTCCATATGTAGGTTGTTTGAAAGGTCATTCCGTATGTAGGTTGATCTGTTTTTAAATAAAAGATTGCCTGCCAAAACCTAAATTCTCATTTGACGTATGTACAATTCACTGCGTCTATCCCGGTCGATATATGTACACTCCATTATGACTATAGCTAATATCAGTTGATTTATGTCGTTGATGCACTTATTCTAAGAAACTTTAAAAAAATATAAAATAAACATAAGTATAAATAAACAACAATATCAGTTAAAAAACAAAACTAATCTCTTTATAATAATACTGGACTTAATAGTAGTAGTAGTAGTGCGCTTTCGAGCCTGTTTGACACGATACTCTTGGCAACCATTGCATCCGAGGTAGTGACGAGAAAGAGTCTTACCTTTGCTTTATAAAAAAACGCGAGCAAACGTGAAACTCATATTGTACGTACATAAACTTCATGTTATGTAATGTTAAAACATGCTTAAACATATATCAAGTTCAACAGTTTGATTTTCACTTAAGAACTGCATTTCGTCAACCTTTGCTTAATTTCTAATCTTTTGTGTTTTTATCCGTTAAAAAACAATTTTTATATAATTTGAAATCTTCGAGACTCTACGTGACGGCGTAGTACAGTGGTTAGCGCGCTGGGCTTTTAACCAAGTCAGCCGTGGTTCAAGTCCTACCATCGGCGACCTTCTTTTTTATTTTTTTTGCGCATGAGTCATTATTGAGATACTCATGTTATTTTAGTTAAACTTTTCAAGTTTATTTACAACTAAATTGAGCAAGGAAAATTAGTAAAAAACTTGTTTATATATAGAATATAAAATCTATATAACTTTTGATTTGCATTTTAAACAACAAAACCGCGTGCCAAGCTGATGAACTTGCCACGCGGTGACCATAACTTTTTTTAAAAATGGTAAGGGGGCTTAAAAAGTATATTTTTATTTAGAACATAATTAAAGATTTTAATTTTGTATGTTCACTAAATTATTTTATAAAATTTATTGTTTCTAAAAATAATTAAAAGTTAAACTATTTAATATTAGCATAATACCGATTTCTAATCTTTTGCATTTATATCCGTTAGAAACAATTTTTATATAGTTTTGAATCTTTATTTCTTAGTGCGTCAGCGTAGTCGAATGGTTAGCGCGCTGGGATTCGAAACATAGCTGCCGTGGTTCGAGTCCTACCGTTGGCGACTACTGTTTTAATTTTTTTTTTAGATTTTTTAATTCAAATACTTATAAAGTTTTATAGATATTGTATATAGACAACATATGTAAAGATATTAATCAAAAGTTTGATCCTCACATTTTGACACAGAACCAACTTCGCTAACGAGAGAAAAAAAATCGTTCACAAATTTCAAAATTTTGTTTTTTCGTTGCAAGAAGTGTCTCGCAAATGCCATTTATGTTAAAGTTAGTGTTTACGCAATCAATAAGTTTAATCTTCGTATCTAGGACATTAAAAGTTATCATTTAGTTATTTTCATTTGATTGAGATTTTCTTGCGTTATAAACCGGATAATAGTTCTTATGAGCTGTAACCACGCGGATAAAGTGTGCATCAATATCTTAAAGACCCGTATTTTACGGGTCATGACAGCTAGTTAGAAATAATACATTAAAATTAAAAATCTCTTTAAAAAAAAATTGATATCGAAAAAAAAGCTATTTTTGGAGGATTCAAACCCCTTGTCAATTTTAGCATCTGCTATACATCCACAGCATTGCTATATTACTATTATATATGAAAGGTTTTAACATTTTTTGCATGTTATTATGTGCACATGAATAATGAATGTTTTTTCAAACACATGAGTGCCTTTCCATATAGTCGTGGTCATGACATTTCTACTGCAAAAGGTGAAAATATAATCAAGGAACTTATTAAATTTTTTTTTTTTTTGGTAATGTGTACATTTGGTCATGTACTACTATCTGAAAAATTTGCAGTAAATTTTATGCTATAGTTGCATCGCTATGTCAAAATAAAATCAGTCACGGTTGTGACAGACAAAAACAGAAACAGAACTTGTTTAAGTAATTTTGTTTTTTTTTTGTAGAAAACTTTCAACAAATTAAAAATTTAATCTTTTTAATTATTTTTTAAAGGATATTATATTAACTATAATACAATTTTTATATTTTTTATTGTTCATGTTTTACATAAAATGGTAGCTAGCAAAAAGTCACGGTCTTGACATCACTGTTGTTACAAAATATTGTACTATCAGATAACTACATTTTAGGTATTTTTTATGTATATTTTAGCATTGCAAAAGTTTTTAAAAATATATAAACAATTTAAACAATGTTTATAGTTGTCCTTAGAAAAATAAAAGAAACATCAACAAGTTTTTAATAAAAAAACGTAACAAATCAATTTATTCAATTGCAGTATTAAAGACATATTTAAATAAACTAAACAAATCAAGATACTAAATAATGATTTTTTGTTTGCTGTGTTATTTGTCTGATAGCGGTGATATTTTTTTCATGCTAAAAATTTCATTCTTAACTCTCTAGTAATGGTAAAGTTGTATATCTTCAACCTTTTCTGCTAGCAGTTAAGTATCGCTTAGCTGACTAAAATGTTAATTGATTTCATCTTCAGTCAAATATATTAAATTTATTGTCAAATCTTTGCATATAGCTTCATAAAACTGCCATGCATTTTGAATAATAACTTGTCTTGCTTTAACCTTTTGCCATGCTATTCTTTTTAAGGTTCCTCCTACCCCATCAATGGCTCCTTTTCCTTGGGCTGTAGCAAAAAAATTCCACTCAAAAGTTGGAATATTAAATGTCACTTGACAATACTTTAGGAATTTTAACCATTAAGCGGTTTTTAAATCGAGAAGATGGACCACAACGTTACTTTGTGTTTAATTGAATTGGTTACGTAAGCCTTTAAAAAATATATTACAAATGTTATGCGTCCCTCAAAGATAAAAATAAAATGTATAAAAATTGAACTGTTTAAGAAAAATACCTTTAAAGTTAATTTAAGGAAAATACTGACACATGTTTTGCTGTGCTCATTTTTATCTGTTTAAATAAGTAACCATATTTTTCAAATCTTTACCATAAACAGCAACAGTGAAGATTGTTATTTGAGATTGATTCCAATAAGCACTTTGAATTTGTTCTTGATGAGTACAGCAATAGTTTTGACTAAAATCAAAGTTTATTAATAATTCACCATCCATAAATCTATTTGGTGGCGATAAACAGATGTTTGGTGACATTTAGTTTAATGGTGAATCCGAAATTGGGGTAGCATTTTCAAAAACTCTGTTTATGTTGCATACAAAGACTGTTTGATCAATCCCTACTGTAGATGATTTGTAACCTTGTTATTGTACTTCGTTTTTCTCTTTGAATGGTGGTAGCATTCGGTTGTTAGGACAGCACAAAAACTACATGACAGTAAGAGGCAATCTGGAGTAAGAGGGCTGCAAAGAATCCATTTGTTTATCCAGTTTGTGTTATAAGTTTCAAAATTAAGGTTTGAGGATAAAGCATTGCATATATTAATAAAATTTTCATGAATTAGACAACAGCAGGTTTCAAGAGGCGTCTCTGAATATGTGAGTATTTGACGAAGTGCACACAATTAGGAAAATTTTATCTTGCTACAAAATTCTTCTGCGTACAGGGCATAACATTCCCTTAATTTAAGTAAAAGTAACGTTTTTGAAATTTTTCACTATCAATTTTTATAAAGTCTTTCATACCTGGAGTCCATCAAGATATTTCTTTTGGTTGTAAAACTCTAATACATAATTGAATACACTAGAAGATAAACGGATGTGCTTTTTTATCTTCGATATATCTGTTAAAGAGATGTTCATTTCTATTGCTAACTGTTTAATGACATAATCTGCTTTTTGTGGCAACTTTGGTAAAGCCAATTTAACGTGGTTCACAGCACGCACTTCTGACGAACTTAAAAGATAGATGGGAATGAACATTAAAAGAAATGGGAAAGAACAAGGAATATCAATGATATCTAGAGCATTTTGAAGATTTCTGTGTTTACACTGTCGTAATTTAGCAAACTTCTTATTTTTCAATTCTTTCTCTGGCATTGATTGTTGGTGATAAATATTACTTCTTTATTTTCTATTTCTTTTAATTCAGTTTTCTTTCTTTCTTTATAATCTTTACAAACTTGTTTGTGCGATTTGGGCATTGTTTTAATATTTATATGTTTCCTGTCTTTTTATGTAGAATATGTCAAATAAGTTATATTTTAAATTAGTTCATAACCTTTAAATGCAAAGTTATATCAATTGTTTAAAATATTCTTTATAATATGTGTTTTAATTAAGGTTTTCCAAATTAAATCTTCTTCCTTGGTGCATTTGAACATCTATATGATGCATTTAAACATCGAAACAACGTGTCTAAACATCAAAACATCCGTTACGTCACGGTCATGACACAGACAAGGATATTATTTTTTTTTTTTTTTTTACATATATATTTATTTCAACTAAAATGTTTTTGCTAAATATTTTTTAATTTAAAATAATTAAATTTCAATTGTATAAAAAAACTAAATTTGTTATAATAGTCGTGGTCGTGACAGTGAAAAACGCCTTTTTTCTTTTTAGTAACATAGCAACTAATAATTGAGATAATAATAATATCACTTATTAACAAACTTATTTAATCACTAATGTTTATTCTGAGAATTAAAAAAAAATAAAAAAAATAACAAATGTTTAACTCAACTCCATGTTAAGAAATCCATGTTTTTTATATCATAAAATATTAAAAATGGCTACCAAATTTAAAACATCTACACATGCATAAAAATAAACGACAAAGTGAAGATATTTTTTTTAAATGTACTAATGTGTCTGTTAATTTAATTTTAAAAAATCTATTTCTAATATTCAGTTTAAATATTTTTGAATTTTGGCAATCTTATATGGAATGACCCATAAGATATTTTGAATATTCCAGATATTTTTGGCAAATATTTCTTAGGTTTTTAAAATATGACCTAGATAATCACTGAAAAATATAGGTTTTTTAAAAAGTATAACTTTAATTTAAAATTTAGGCAATATTGCTTTTTGTGGAGTTTGAAAGATCGTATTGCGCCATCAAAAAGTCACTATCTTGATATTTGTACTGTGGAATACTCATCCACTGTTGGTAAGTAAATTGTTAAAACTTTACTCAATCATATCATTGTAAAAGTATTTGTATTAAAAAAAATTGTTTCGATAGTTTGTTCTCTTAATGCATTCACAACAACAACAAAAAACTTTGGTGTCTGTGTGTTTCAATAGTTTGTTCTCTTAATGCAGTCACAACTAGTGATTTCGTCGGTTATCCGTTTCAAAAACCGGATAACAGTTCTCATCAATTTGCGGTTAACCGACTATTCAGTAAATTAGTGACGCTTTCTGAATACAGGATCTTCTAAATTTCAACGAACGTAGCGTTTTAAACTAATTTTTAAAAAATTAATGTTAAAGTGTACATTTTCAAGACAGTGAATACAATATATATTTTTATATACAATTGTATATTTATAACAAAACATGGGAAAAGATATATATCTTTTTTATATTATAATATAATATACCTTTTTAATTATATAATTAAAAAAGGTAGGAATAATGTGCAAGTATAGTTTAAATGTTTTAATATCAGCGGATGTTTTAAAATCATTCTCTCATATAAAAACATTTGATTTGGAAAAATGAAATGTTATGAAGTAAATTTTTTTAGCTTAAAAACTTATTGTTATGCGGACATAAATGGAAACTTGAAGATAAACTTGAATGTTCTCAAAACAACTTGTTGCGTAAAGATTAATTGATTGATTGCGATAAAGATATTTGCTAACACTAAAATACCGCTAAATCTACGAATAAACAAATTCTATTGGTTCAAAAAATACTCTGAATAAGCGAATTAGAGTTCTATAATATTCTGAAGAAACTTTCTTAAAAATGTATTGCTTGAGTTGTAAAAGTAATAAATAAACCTTTGATGTTTCTATTGTAAATTGTTTTAAGAATATATTATCAAACAAAACTGATTAAATTAACATTTAAATTAATAAAAGAAATATATTATTATCTTTGATAAATTATCATTTGTCAAACAATAATCGTCATAATTACAATGTTACTTTCTATAAAATTTCGTAAAATTTTTAAGTCGGTTTTTATTATTCGAAAATAGATATTTGATATTCGAACAAAATCTGGTTAACCGCAAAACTGGATAACCGGCGAAATCACTAGTCATAACAACAAAAAACTTTGGTATCTGTGTGTTAAAACACACAAATTAACACATGAAACTAAATCAACAGTGAAGTTTTTTGTAATAAATCAACGGAAGTGAAATTTATTTAATTTGTGACATCAAGTGTTTGAGTGTTGTTAGATGTTTTACTAAATTTAAGTGTTTTTACCTATTTCTATATGTTATTTATATATATATATATATATATATATATATATATATATATATATATATATATATATATATATCTATGTTTATATGTTATTTATCTATGACTGTATGTTATTTATCTATTTCTGTAAGTTATTTATCTATTTCAATATGTTATTTATCAATTTCTATATATTATTAATGTCTGTATGTTATTTATCTATGTCTATATCTTATTTATCTATTTCTATATCTTATTTATCTATGCCTATATCCTATTTATCTATGTCTATATGCTATGGTCAATACTCAGAACAGTTTTCATAATACTTGGTCATTATAAATAATGACTCATAAAATCAGGCAGTTTAATAATTTTGTGTTTGTCTACAATAATGTCTCTTGCTGCATCTGACGATAGGTTTTACCCTGATTGACTAGATCGACAGCTAAATTTCTCTGAGAAACAGTCGATTGACGTTTACCTCCTACCATTTTACTTCAAAAAACATGAAACCTTTTTTTTATATAAAACTTTTTTTTTTTTACTACAAAAAAATAGTTTTTTGTTATGCAATTTCATTAATTGTATAAAAATTATTATTAAATATTTCAACAAGTTTCACATAAAGTTAATTAGACTTACCTAAATATCGCTTGGTCGGGTAATTTTTTTACAAGCCTATTCAATACTAAGTTTCTTTTAGGACAAATAATAAACCAACTGAAGCATAAATCAAAAATTATGAACGCTAAATAACATACTATTCCCAATAGAATTAAAATGACTGTCTAAGTAAGTATCGCTATTCATTGTTTTTAGTATAATTTAGAGCGTAAACATTTTGTTTTGCAAAAAACTTGTTTGGTCAGATAATTTTTTGAGACACTGTATTTTATTGTAAAAATTTTTATTACTAACTAAACTTGAATCAAACTTTAATTCTAAATATATAAAATTATTTGATGGTAAACTGCACATATTCTTTAGAACTATCGTACAGAAGATAGAGAAAAACTCTATCACCCCCAGTTTATTTAAAATTATTTTTATTCACTAATTACATAACTTTTTCTAAAAGCAACACAAATAAAAAAAATTAAAAACTCAAATTCATTGTAAATAAACATGATGCAAGGTTTTACTCTTTATTATCAATTTATATTTCTTTTTAAATATTTTTATAAATTGTTAGTTGGTCATAAAAAGCTGTTTAGATTCAATGAGTTTATTTTTTTCAAGCATCATTTTTTTATTCCATTTTTTTTTTGGAAGAGAATTATTTTTTTTTGAATTGTTATTTAAATTTTTCTTATTAGTATTTATTTTTTGGAGGAGAAGTTTTTTTTTTTTTTTTTTTTTTTTTTTTGAATTCTTATTGTTATTTATTTTTCAGAGAGAGGAGGTTGTTTTGCTTTTGAATTGTTATTTGTTTTGATGTTTATTTTATTATTTTTGGCTTTAAAAGAAAAAACCTTAAACAGAGACAAAAAAATGAAAGTAAGATTGCTAAAAATGCTACTAATATGTAATTTAAGTAAATTTATTTTGTTTTTTTGTAGTAAACAATCTTGGAAATGATCATGACGACTACAATCCCACTAGCGATTACATGCAATACTATATTTACAACCTAAATGAGTTTACGTTAGTATATACTGATTATATTTACTGCTAGTTTCTTTGTTCATACTATTTGTTCATAGTGTTTTGCTTTTTTAAATTATCAAAGTTGATGTTTTACCACTCTTATAGTGAATTTTATTATTTTAATTTTTATAAAAAATTAAATTTAAATTGAATTTTCTTAATATTTTAATCTTGTTAAAATATAAACTGTTTAAATGGAAAATGTTTGAAATTTGATAACAAAGTATTGATTTGCTAAAATATTGATAATTTTGTTAAATTACATAAAATACCTACAAATCAGCCGCATTAAATTCATATTTTTGCACTAGCACTGTATGATATATATCAGTGGTAGAGATGTGCTGGTTACCCAGTTTGGACCCAAAATTGGCCATTTTTGTTGATGATTTTTAACCAGCGTAACCTTTAAGTGCTGTAACTAATAAATAATAATATATAATAAAACAAATTTTGTTTTAGTGTTACTTTAAACTGTGTAGAAATATTATTAACCAGATAAAAATAGCGCTTCAATCAATGAACTTCTTGATAGTTTCAGAAGTTGATAATAAATTTAGATGTGTCTCACTTAAATTACTTTTTTGAATATACTTTTGCTATAATATATTGCAAATTGTTGGCAGCAGATAATATTGCAAAAAGAAAACTGATTTATACAGATATGAAAACCGTAAAGTAAAACAGAATAATATGAGAATACGAAAGAAATAAGAAGAAAAAGAAAGAAAACAAGTAATTGCTTCTTTTTTGCAATTTTAATTGCAAAAAATGAATGAAAGTTTAATACTTTGTGTAGGTCGTTTTCAAACAAAGGTTGAAAATGTAGGTCGTTTATACATTTAGGCATTAACATTACAAGCAAGCAAAAAGTATTGAAGTTCCAAATGAAGGTGATATATGGGATCAAAAAAATGCAAATGTTTGATTGTGGCATCAAAAAAATGAATATGATTGTCTTTTAATAATAAAATATGATAATAATTAAAAATTTATTTCATTTATTTAAACAGATAAAGTTATTTACTTTATTTATCATTTGATATAGTGTTAACTTGTTATAAGTGGGTAAAAGTTTTTTACCAAGTATATTATCTACCCTTTGTCTTTTAGGATTAACTCTTACTTCTGACATAAGATTGCAAGTTATATGAATCAGGAAAACAAGATAAAGGGAGAGAATCCCAAAGAACTGATGTTCAAGGAAAAAAACTAGACAAGTAAGAATTTTTAAAGCCCTTAGAAACTGTCACAGTAAAAGGGTGATTGAATGATGAGTAACATGAGAATAAATTTTTAGATTTTAGCAGCATCCATTATAGTGCTTATAGAAAAGAGATAGAAAAGCAACAATGTGACAATGAGACAATCGCTGAAGGTTGGCTGCAAGAATAGGTCCAAATATGTTTACAATGCATTTTGTACCTTGTCCAAAATAGAAACAGCATAATTAAAAGATCCACTCTAGATGGCAACAGTATTCCATACTATGATGGATTTGAGATTTATATAGAAAAAGAATAAAATCTTGAGTAAGGAAGTGGCGAGCATGATAAAGAGATGCAACCTTAGAAGATGCTAATTTTACAATAGATTTGATAAGATTGGAAGTAAAAGTTAATCCTAGAAGACGAAAGGTAGATAACTCATCGAGTACATTACCATTCATAAATATAGAAAAATCTAGATTATTGCGATAACAATTAGCTAGAGTTTTTTATCAGAGTTAAAGTTCACCAGCTACTGAAAGCCCCATATTGTAGCAGAAGAGAAATCCTTTTCAAGCTCAAATATCCCCTCCAAGCAATCATAGAGTGTTGGCAATCAAGATAAAATAAGATAAGAATAAATAGTAGTATCATCAGTGAATAATGCCACCTTAGATGTGAGAATTTCTGGGAGATTGTTGATGTAAATTTAAAAAATTATAGGTCCAAGGATAGATTCTCGTGGAACCCCTGAAGTTACAAGATATGAAGAAGAGTGGTGTCCATCGAGGACAACTTTTATACTACGATTGGCAATGAAGGATTCAAAAGATGTTAGGATTTTAAAGATGTTACCTGATACACCGTAAGAAGAGAACTTATGGTGAAGACCAGCATACCAAACTTTATCAAATTCTTTAGAAATGTCAAGAACAATACCCCTAACCTCACCACATCTATCTAATGCGCAATAAAACTTATCTGTTATTACCGTTAATATATCAGCAGTAGAACAAAGATAGAAATCCATATGAGAAATCGTTTGTTAATTTAGGACTCAAAAACCTTGCTTATGATAGTAAGAAGACTAATTCAATAAGGGTTTTGAGTCAGATTGCTCTCCAGAATTTTGGAAAATAGAGATATCAGATGCCGCTTTCCAGCAGGCTGGAAAATAAGACTCTGAAAAGCACTTGTTAAATAGTTTTGAAAGTATAGATGTCAGCTCTGGAGAATACTTCTGCAACAGGCATGTTGTCCAGATCATAAGCTGTAGAAGAGTCTAAGCAGGAAAATAACTTTAGATACAGATGCTGGAGTGATTCCAATGTCAAGCAATGAATCAACCTGTTTGTCAGCTATATCAGGTAGAATGTGGTTAGAGTAATCAAGTGATGAGATTTAAAAGTACTTAGCAAACAATTCAGCTTTGTCTTTAGGTGTAGTAAAAAATTCTGAATCATGCTTGAGAGGTGGAGTAACGAATTTGCCTTTCTTATAGACACTGTTAAATAATCTCCAGAAGTCTGGGGAGTTTAACTTTCATGATAAAACTTATGATTTTGCCTAAGGGTGCCTAAGGGTGAATGTGGCGAAACTAAGCTTTTACAAGGTTCAGAAATAAGACATAAGTCAAGTAGAGATGGTTAATGATTTGGATTGTCTTGGAAGTCATTTGGAAAGTTGACTATTTGTGTTAAAGATTGAGAAAGGAAAACGTTTTGGCCCTTAACACCTGCAGAGTGCACTGACACTAAAATTAAGCCATTCAGTGTGATAAGCATTAAAGTCACCAACAACAACGTTATTGGCTGAAGGATAAAGAGAAATGGTTTGGTCAATTTGTTAAGAAATAACATCAAAAAGAATGCAGTCTTGAGATGAAAGATTGAACAAAGAGTATTGAACAAAGAGAAAGATGATGAAGTGGTGATGATATAAAGTCACAGTCCTTTTGGGACTCTGCATCCCTGCTATTAATAAACCCAAAGCTGTAACAAAGAGCTCCAAATGTGGCCTAAGCAATTCACAATAAAAGTACAAACAAGGACACCATGGTTCTGTTAGTACTCTGATACTTTACAGCTGTTGATAAGATCAGCCTCTCTGATAGCTACCGCAGAGTTTAGGAAACCTTACTACCAGCTGGCCTCAGAACAATAAAACTGTGTTTTTAGAGCTGTACCCTCATTAGAAAATAATAGAATAGGAAATAATGAATAGGGGTTGTGTTAACTCAGAGTTGACTATTCCTAGTCTTAACATCAAAAAGTGTATCCTACAATGCAGCAGGACATAAAGCTGGTTGTAATGGGTTACATTTTACTAATAGCAGGTTAACCTGACCTGACAATAAATGTGTGTATGTATGTATGTATGTATATATATATATATATATATATATATATATATATATATATATATATATATATATATATATATATATATATATATATATATGCATATGTACATACAAGACTTGAATTGCTTTTCACACCTTTGCAATAAGATTTTTCTTAAAAAATATATTTTCACTATTTTTTTTTTTTGGGTCAATCTTTAAATTTAGAATGCTTTTGTTTAAGTTTATTAAATACATAAAGCAAGTCACAGGGTCATAAAGTATGTCACACTAAATTTATCTTTTAGGAGTATGATCGTTTGTTCTCTTGCAGTGAGATTTCATTCAACATAAAGTGCTTTAATCTTTAGAATATAACTATTATTAGATGATTTTGCATATACCTCACATATATCTCACAATACCAGGAGTAATGTCAATCAGAATAGTAATACCAGGTCAGAGGAGTCCGAGAGTAATATCATTTATTACAGTTGTTTACAATTAGAAAATATTGCAGATTGAGTGAGCTAGCTACAATAACCAATATTCTCAAATGTTTTATGTTTGAGAATATTGTTTTTTTTCTAGCTATTGGTTGTTATATAATGAAAAGTTTTAGTAATGTTTATAATTTATGCATGGGTTAATTAGTGTAATGTTTTTAAAAGTAATTTAAAAGTAATGTAAAAAAAAAATTATACTTAATTATTATTATTCTATACTAGGTAAAATATAAATTGTGAAATCTATTATATAAGAAGCGTAGTCATCGCTTTGATTGTTTTTAATTGTTTGTTTTTTATGCTAAGAGTTATAAAAAATTGAAATTTTTTAATGTTTATAGTCAATAGAAAAATTATTTTGTTTTATCACTTTTATTATTCAATATGCTTTTTGATCATTCTTTTATGTGCTAACTTTAAGCCTCTCTTCATTCAAATTTTTTTTCATTATTCTCAAACTTATTTTTCTTTACTGTTCTTCTTTTTCTCCTTCTTCTTTTTAAAACTGCCTTTTGAATGTTGTTTCTGATTAAATTGATTAAACCCATTCCCTTAACCAATATGTGATTTTAATGTTCATTACACTGGGTTTTGTACACCTCATGTTTCTCACTCATTGATACATTTTGTTTAAGACTTGGGAAAAACATTGTTAACACATTTTTACTTTTTTGACTTGTAATTGAAAATTCAAAATATTATTATTTTTTTTTATTTTTTTTCTTTCATTTATCTTTTAAATATTTATAATTTTACAATATTATTTTTTTAGTTACACCATTTTATCTCATCTTCCTACTTGTGTTGGGCCTGAGCTTTATAACTTGCCAGGGTTATCAGATCTTCTTGTTGAGAAATTAGCTATACCTTGTGCACACTTGCCTAATTATAGAATAAAGAAGGTGTGGAGTATCTTTTCACTTTTTTGTTTTAAATGTTTTAAAAATGATTTCAAAAAATTTTGTTTTTGATATCCTTAATAAAGTTTAGAATCTTTTATGAGAAGATTCATAATATGCTGTCCTACAAATCGACTCAGAATATTAGGACCTTTTCTTGGTACTTCTTTACAAATAATGTCAAAGGTTTGTATTAAAAAGTTATCTTATAAATTTAATATATATTCTTATATATTAATTTAAAAAAATGGTATTTATTAAGTTATTTATATATGTGTATATATATATATATATATATATATATATATATATATATATATATATATATATATATATATATATATATATATATATATATATATATGTATATATATATATATATATATATATATATATATATATATATATATATATATATATATATAAATATATATATATATATATATATGTATATATATATATATGTATATATATGTATATATATATATGTATATGCATATATATGTGTATATATATACATGTGTGTATATATATATACATGTGTGTGTATATATATATATATATATATATATATATATATATATATATATATATATATATATATATATATATATATACATATGTATGTATATATATGTATATATATATATATATACATGTGTATGTATATATATATATATGTATTAAGTTATTTATATATGTGTATATATATATATATATATATATATATATATATATATATATATATATGTATATATATATATATATATATATATATATATATATATATATATATATATATATGTATATATATATATATATATTTATATATATATATATATATATATATATATATATATATATATATATATATATATATATATATATATATATATACATATGTATGTATATATATGTATATATATATATATACATGTGTATGTATATATATGTATATATATATATATATATATATGTATGTATATATATATATATATATATATATATATATATATATATATATATACATATGTATGTATATATATGTATATATATATATACATGTGTATGTATATATATGTATGTATATATATATATATATATATATATATATATATATATATATATATATATATATATATATATATATATATTGCCTTTAATTAAAAAACACTTAATCTCTCATCTTAAATCTAATAACTTACTTTCTGATCATCATTTCAGATTTCAGTCTTCTTGTTCTACTGCTGATTTGTTAATGGTAATAATGTATAGGTTTTATCTAAAATCTAAAAAGCCTTTGATAAAGTTTAGCATGCTGATCTTCTCTATAAGCTTTCGATCTCCCAGAAATTCTCACATCTAAGGTTGCATTTACTAATGATACTACCATTTTTTTTTTTGTCTTGATAAGAAGCTAATACTCTCTGATTGCTTAGAGGGGGCATTTGAGCTTGAAAAGGATCTCACTTCTGCTGCAGCATGTGGGTTTAGGTGGCTGGTGAATTTAACTCTGGTAAAACTCTTTTTTTTTTCAACTAATCGTTATCACAATAATCTAGATTTTCCTATATTTATGAACGGTAATGTACTCAACAACTCATCTACCCTTTGTCTTCTAGTATTAACACTTACTATTTGCTAAGGTTGCATCTCTTTATCATGTTTGCCACGTTTTTACTCAGGATTCTATTCTTTATCTCTATAAACCTCAAATTTGTCCTTGTATAGAATACTGTTGCCATATCTGGGGCATCTTCGAATGGTGCTCTTTTTGCACAAAGTGCAAAAACCCATTGTAAACATAGTTGGACCTGCAAGCCTACCTCAAATCATTATCATATTGGTTCTATTTCTCTTTACTATAAATACTATAATGGAACTGTTCTAAAGAGCTAGTGTCTCTAGTGCCATCTACTAAAATTCATTATTGTGTTACTCGTCATTCAAATAAGTCTCATCCATTTACTGTGACTGTTTTTAAGTGCTCCAAAAATTCTTATTTTTTCTTGAACATCAGTTCTTTTGAATCTTGTTTTCCTGATTCATACAGTTTTTTTTTTTTAATTTCATGTCAGTTTTAATGTTTTAACAATTTAAATGCTATTAAAAAAATTGTTACCTTATAAATAACTTTTAATCCTTAATCTTTTCTAAAGTTTTTATTTTACGCAAAGGCTTTAAATAAAACAAAAAAGTTATTATAGTGATTGTTCAAAATAAATGTATTTTGTGTAAATTAACAAATGTTATATTTAAATTTTTTTATGTCTTTAAAAAAAATTTTTAACAATAATTTTTAAATTACTTTAAATTATGAATAAGTTAAATTAAATCTTCTGCTGCAATGGAATGATTTATTTTTTTGTTTCTATTCTTATAAAGAATTGTTCAAAACTTTTTTTTTTAAATTTAACTAATCAGAGCATGAAATGATTAAAAATTACTATTTTAAATAGACTACAGTATTTATTTACCAAAAATTTTTTTTTTTTTTTTTTTTTTTTTTTTGTTATTTTTTGCAACTTTTAGGAAAAAATCAATGTTTATTCAATTCAAAAATAATATATATAACACTTTTTAGTAAATCTTCTGACCGAGATCACTACATTGAAATAGTAAAAGTTTTTTAATCAACCCAAAGGGAGATCTATAAAGATTTAAAAACAGAATTAAAGCTGAAATCCTTCTGAAAGCAGCTTTTGTTGATAAAGACCAGCCGCTAAGTTTTGAGTTGTATATTTCACCAAAATCAAGAATTATTTTTTTGATATTATAAGTCATAATTAAAAAAAAAATGCCTACAGATAAGACTTCCTCAGACTTTTTGCATATTTTTAAGTGCCGAAAAGCAAGTAGTTATGACTGACATTGTTGTTTAGACATTGATTTAAACTTGTGCAACTAATACTGATTATGCTAAATATAAGCGTATGTTTCCAAATTCTAAAATTGCTAAAGCATACCAAAAAAAATTGGATAAACTAGAGTATATGATTCAGATTGGAATGCCCCTTGTATTAAAAAAGTTATTTAAAATTAGTGCACGAGCATTAAATTGTCAGTGTAAAATGGATATGACGGGTGATGCGGGCAATAAGCATTTTGGCGGACTTTTTTGATATTTAGATAAAATTGATTAAATTTTAGTTATAGTTTTTTAAGTTTTACAATATTTGTAAATAAGAAAAATAATTGTTAGCAAGTTGTTTTTCTGATATTTAAGCATCTTAGCGTTTCTTAAAAAAATTGTTAAAAAGAGCGTTGCAATTTACCAAATTTTTTTAAACTCTATTTTAATAAAGTTTAAAAAATAAAAACTGTGGAAGTCACGTCTAACATTAAAATATCCGAGAGAGCCATGGATGGTTAAAAGTTGTCATTAGGAGGCATTGCTATCTAGGTAGATTTTTTTTTTTTAACTCAGTAAAGTATATGATTTTTAATGTAATGAAGTACAATACTTTAAAAAATTTATGCTTAAGTAGAAGTACACATTTAAAAAAAATACTTATTAAGTACAAAATTTAAAAAAAAACTACTCAATTACAGTAACTTAAGTATATGTAATTTGTTACCTCTTTTGTTAGTCATGTTATTTATTAAATAAATTTTATGTTAAAAATGTCTGATCATTGATTTTTGAATAGTGTCAACATCACAAGGCAAGAAATTGTCATGATGGAGTCTGTCCTCGAAATCCTTTGCAGCAATATCAATTAATTATTTAGTAAACAAATAAAACCATCCTTCAATATAAAAGTCTTGCTTGTACACCTTACTTTTAAATAAGTTTTGTGTGTAACAGAAAAAAAAAATTATTGTAGTTGTTGTTTTCCTTTCTTATGTTTTTAAAGAAATGTGAAATAATAAAAGTTCGTTCTGGTTAAATAAAAATCTTTTACTTATTAATAGGTTTCTGTTCATAAATAAATGTTTTAATATTATTTTAAATGTTAAAAACTTTTAACATACTTTTTAATCTAAATAAGAAGTTTCAAATAGTCTAGTGGTCTCCTTGTGGTTCAGAATATTAAAAAATATAAAAGGACCATGATAGTATTTGTAGAAAAAAAAATAATCTCAACCTTACAACAGCGGGAGAGTGGTTCAAGCTTGGCAAATAAAGCTGGTCTAACTACATTTACAATGTGCTTTTAGACTTTGTCTGAGAGTAAGAGGGCTGTTATTCGTCAATATAGGAATGCCCAAAATATTGCAATATTTTATTGCAGTTAATAAATGAGTTTTGTTGCCACTGCAAACTTTAGGCTGTTAAAAAAGAGAGATCATATTAAAAACCGGGGCTTGTTCTAAGCAATGGAAAAATGAAGATTTTTTTGTCAAGAAAAGAGTATAAAGTTGAGTCCTAATAGAGGTAAATGTAAGATTTTCACGAAGATTATAGATAAGAAACATTTTTCATGAAGATTGTAGATAAGAAACATTACAAGAGCAAAGATAGAACCTTGTGATACCCTTAAAGTTACTTGAAATAAAGTGGAGTGTAGGTCTTCAAGAATAACTTGAATTCTGCAGTTAGAAAGAAATAATTTATTAATCTCAAAAACTTTATATAAAGAAACTAATAACAGAGTAAAGATTAATCACAGGAGAGGTCAAAGTCTTTTCTCATTTGGAGAGGTCAAAGTCTTTTCTAGAGTTTTTAAAAATTGGAACTTATTTAGCACTTTTTCAAAGTTTAGCAAAAATTTAAGAGAATTCTGGAGAACACTTTTTTAAGACTATGATGGAAATATTGTCTGGAGCACAAGCTGTAGAAATGTTCAATTGAGAATTAGCTTTAGCATTAGAAGCCATAGTGATTTCAATGTTTAACAATGGGTTAATCTGTTTAACTTTCAGGAAGAGTATGGCCATTATATTCAAGGGTCAAATTAGTAAAAAGTAAGATTTTTTTGCAAAAAAACTCTTATTCTGTCTTATACTGAGTAGAAGTAAAAGGTCAGATGAAAAAAATGATTACTGTTTAATAAAGCTACTTCTCAAGATGGTAAAAAATGTAGAATAAGGCTTGATTAGAAAAAAGCATCTTATTGGACAATGTTTGTTAGGGAAGATTTAGGTATGTAGAGACTAGGCATGTAGAGATGTAAAAGTTTCAGGAGAAAATGCTAGTGGTAGAAGTAAGAAAACTTGAATAGAGAGTGCCTTGTATATTGTATAAATGATGATTAGTTAAAGAAAGAAAATGGACTAGATTGTTTATATTAGAGAAACAGTATAAAAGAGGAAAGCTAAAGCCTAATGATGACGTCAATGATCATCATCATCATCATTATCATAATAATGATTATGATCACTATAGAAGTGATGAATATGATGATCATGATGATCATAATGATGATGATCATGTTGATCATAATGATGTTTATATATGATGATGATGATCATAATGATGTTTATATATGATGATCATGTTGATCATAATGATGTTTATATATGCATATATATACAAATATAGCATGAATTTAAACTAAAAAAATATTTTTTTGGATGTATAATTGTTTATGGTCACAAACCCAGTCCTGGTTATATTTTATCGAACCTGGCCCCAGTCAAATATCAACCCTGGTTGTTACTACCACTTTAGCAGGGTTTTTTTTTTTTTTAATTCATAATTGCAAGGCTCTATATGGAGAGAAGGTCAAGGTTGCAGTTTTTCTTGCACAAGTTTCTTAACTTTTTGAACTTAAATGACTTAAGTTTAAAAATCTTTTCTATCAGCTGTAGGTGCATAACAAGTTTATTTTTTTTCCATTTACAATTTCAAACTTAATAAGAAAACATTTATAACATAATTTACACATTTAATAATTTTGTGTTGGGCTTTAATACATATAAGTTGTCAAAGAGTAATAATATCGATGATTTTTTAAACACTTTATATTTATACTAATAATAATTACTTGAACTTACTCTTTTCACCCTTTTTTAATATCAGGATCTTTTAGAAAAATTACACTTTTTTTAAGGATAGTTTGTGGTACACTCGTGTGGTACTACTGTGGTACACTTGTGTGGTACTACTGTAGTACTTTGGCAGTTATTTTTTATTCTTGATTATTGTTTGTTGCTGAGAAAAATACTTGTTGCACTTACACTCTTGCTTGTTAAATGCCTCTTACACTACCAAGTTTTCTAGTATAAATTCTTACAATTATCTTATTAATCAATATAAAAAATTATATATATATGTATATATATATGTGTGTGTGTATATATATATATATATATATATATATATATATATATATATATATATATATATATATATATATATATATATATATATATATATATATATATATATATATATATATATATATATTTAATAAAAAGTATTGTTAGGGGTTGCTTAAGGCCCATTAAACATCAGATGGATTCCTAATATTATTTTTAAAAAATTCTTTAAAAGTATTTGTTAAGTCAAAAGAAGCGAAATTGTATAAAAATTTCAAAAAAAATTATAATTTTATAAAAAACACAAAAATAACTAAAACAAAAATAGATATAACTAAAGTATTTTGTAAAAATTCATATTTTTCATTTTTATTCAAAAAAATTTTCGAAGCAGTAGAAGCTAAAATCATAGTTTTTAATAAACTTGATGATTGTTTTTGAAATAATTTGTTTATAAAATGATGGTTTTTTCTTTTAATTTAAAGAATGCATAAACCAAAACCTTTAGTTAATGAATGTACATTATGTTTCATGTACTATATTAGCATGAGCTATATCAGTGCATTTATATATATTTCATGTGAAAATAAATAAGAAAAAAAAAAAATTAAAAAACTTAAGAAAAAACATTAGTCATTAAAGTTGTTATTTTTGCAGTTTTTTAAAAATAAAATTTAATGTACAAAAAATTTTACAGTTTAGCTTTGAGGTGAAATTGAAAAGTTGTTGAAATGATGCAGTAACAAATTAGATATACTTAGTTTTCCTTCTTCTTTTACCATATACCTGTAAGTTTTTAAAAATTAATACTAAAAGAATGTAAAAGGTTGAAAATGTAAGAACCTTTAAAAAAGTGTATTTTAAAAAACCAACAGATTTTAATAAAAACAAATCATAAACAATAATATATAAATACGAGAAGTACACAACATATTAATATTATCTTAAATATGAGAAGCACACAACATATTAAAATTGTTATAAATGTGCAAAGTACACAACATATTAGTATTATCATAAATATGAGAAGCACACAACATATTAATATTATCATAAATATATATGAAGGGCACAAGATATTAAATATCAATATGAAACAAATAAACATCATTTATTACAAAAATTTGCTGTTTTGAATAATTTTTTGCTAACTTTTAATTTATTTTTTTTACCCTACTCTAACTTCAGTTGTATGAGCTGAAGTGCTTGCAGGTTGCTATTTTAATATGATGTTCTTGCAGGTGACTGTTTTAATATGAAGTCCTTGCAGGTGGCTGTTTTAAATTGATGTTCTTGTAGGTGGTTGTTTTAATATATCTTTATTGTTGACTCTTAGAGTTAGATTTTTTTGAAGCATAAAGCTTATGTTGAATAAGGCAGCTGATACATACAATTTATTTATATTTATTTATTTATTTAGTTTGCTTTTTATTTAGTCTGCTATTTATTTATTTATTTAGTCAGCTGATAAATATATTTATTTATATTATATTTATTTATTTATTCATACAATTTATTTCACACTTTATTTTCATCAATGATATTTTCACATTTTTTCCTGAACAATATTTTAACTTTTTTGCACAGTAGATAATGTAACTAAAAATGTAAAATAATGTAACATTGTTTACAGAGATTATCATCAGGATGGGAACGTATTGAAAATAGAAGTTCTGGTTATGAACAGTTAGTAATTAACTATTTTTTGTTACACACTCAAATTAAGCATTGAACATAATTAATCAACATAGTTTAACATAAATTGCTTTGATAATCACCAAATATTTTTAAACACGTTATTTTCAACTTTGACAAATTTTTTAAATTATTTTATAAATTACATCAAGTTATAAATAAACCTTTTAGAATAAATGAAGAAACCATGGTTGTACAATCAAATAAGATAAATGAAAAACAAAAAAGGGAGATAATAGATGACAAAGTGATGTCTACATTATCTAAAGAATTTATTGACACCCTATGTAAAAAATTTTTGAATTTATTGACACCTTAAGTAAAAAAATTTTTGTTGAGATTTTATTGGAAATAATTTTATTAATGCATTCTTTAAATTTTTAGTAAATCTTTACTTTAGTTCTATATTGTACGTATAAAGGAGAAAACAAAAAACAAGTTATTCCTGATGGTCAGTTTATTTTTATTTATAATAATGTTTATATTTTATGCTCACACTGGCTAAGGTCAATTTTTAATGTAATTTATTGAAATCAACATAAGTGTGTAAACTTTAAAAAATGTTTAGATTCAATATCTATTGGAGTAATTGGAGACTTTTTACTTAGTTACCAGGTAAGAGTTTACTTAGTTATGAGTTAAGAGTTAACTTTACTTAGTTGCAATATACAGACTTTATAATTTATTCAAGTGCTTTTAATTTCAAAGAGTTTCAGTATATGATATCATTAAAGAAATTCAATAAGAAATCTGGAAATTCTTTTTTTCTTCAAATTATAGATTTTTTTTTTTTTTTCATTATAAATTACTAAAGAATTTGTTTACTCTATTATTATATATAAAAAAAAAATTTTATTATAAATTACTAAAGAATTTCTTTAATTATTTTATTTTCTAATTTTCGCCAAATTTGCATCAAAAGTATAACATATTTCAGATATTTTAAGCTTGTCTATTGCTATGAATTAGTCTTATTTTACATTTAACGTTATTAAATGATTATTATGCTTATTAAGATTCTTTAACTGTATAAAAGTTTAATTAACAGCATTTTCTAAACTTTTCATTGGCTACAAATGTTCGAGACATTCTTATTTAGTCATGCAAGAATATATTTAATAAAATTTATTTTGTAAAACATGTTTTGTTTATTTTATTTTAAGAATTGAATAATTATTGCTAAAGATTGCAAAAAAGTGTAGCATTATTGAATCAATTAATGTTGATTCGATAATGATTTCCATTAAATAAATCAATTAATGTTGTTTCGATAATGATTTCCATTAAATGAATCAATTAATGTTATTTTGATAATGATTTTCATTAAATAAATCAATTAATGTTGATTCGATAATGATTTCCATTAAATAAATCAATTAATGTTGTTTCGATAATGATTTCCATTAAATCATTTAATGGAAAACTTGTAACTGTCAATTTTTTTAATACGCGTATAATAGTTTATTTTTTGAAAAATGTTACTAAATTTGCAATACCTGTAGTGATATTTATTTTCTTTATTTCAATGCAACAAATGCATTCTTTTTCAAGAGACATTACAGTGTCCACATTTAAACCATTGTTCAGCATTGTAATTTCATTTAGAATTTGTAAAATGTCATTTAAATAGGAGAACAAAAGCAACATAGCAATAAAATGGCTTAAATAAAACTAGGAAAAAAGTTTCCATTGTTTACATAAAAATAAAAAAGATTCAAAATATAAAATATTATTAACGTATTTTTTATAAACTTATTATAATAAATAATTATAAAAACAAATTGATTGAACAAAAATGATTCTAAAAAAAAAATATATTTTTATTTGTTAAAAATTATCTTATAATGACATTTTATTTTCCTATAATCATTTTTCATACTGAAAATCTTTGAAATTGAGACGCAAATAATTTATAAAGTCTGTAAATTGCAGGGTATTATTTTAAAGACTTATAAATCACACTAAAATGGCAAGCTTTGACTAAAACAACAGTTTAAAAACAAAACTTAGAAATTATATAAGTATCTATTATACATATGTTTGTCCATTATTCCTTCAACGTATTAGAGTGGTCTTTAATACAGAAAATGCTGAAAATCACCACCAAATCATCTCGCTATCTACATCTTCTTTGCACAGCAACTTTGTTCATCTTTCATAGTTAAAAGGTTGTAGCAACAACAACAACAAAATTATTTTGTACATTTTTATGCAACAATCTATAGCTTACCTAAATTAAAATCTTTACTAAAACTAATATAAAGTTATTCATGCTTATCAATATATTTCAATTAATGTGTATACATTTTGTTATTACATATTAGTTTTACATCTAGAAACCCTAATAGTGCATGGTTTTAATTGCTTGCTAACTGGCCTTCTAACGTTTTGTTTACCTTGATGAACATGTCAATATTCTTCACTTTTTTTTTTATCCAACTTTAGTGAACTTTTTGATAAACTGTGATAAATAAAAATATGATTTATTTTTTTTGCTGCTTTACAATTTACAAATTACAAAAGTTTTACAATTCTGCTTTATCCAAATGTCTTTGTACAGTATTTTCTTCAATATAATATTTACAAATTGTATCTCTTGCGCTAACTAATTAAGAACTAGCAAATTTTTTTACATTTATATATTATATATATTAGGGTGTCCCAGCTGTCCCCCAAAAATCAAAGTTTGGTCATAAATAGCCAAAAATCAAAATTTAGTCATGAATAGCTGTTCAAGTTTTATAAAAATAAAAAGAATCACAGTACTTTGCTTTGTAAGAAAACATGAACGAATGTGGATGCAAATAGCTAACATATGTAAACTTCAAATTATGTATTGTTAAAACATACTTAAACAAATATCAAGTTTTACAGTTAAAATTTAACATGAAAATTGTATTGCATCAACCTTATCTTAATTTTGATCTATTGAATTTATTTCCATTTAAAAAAAAAAAAGTCCTACCAAAAGCGACTATTTTTATTTTAATTTTTATAATAAAAAATACTTTTAAAGTTTTATAGAGATTATATACAAACATATGTAATGATTTAATCACTTTAGCAAACAAAAATATTTTTTTAAAACTAAAATTTCTAAAAACATCAAAAAATGGGGAATTTGTTGCGTTTGTGTCATGCTTGAGACTTATGTTATTTTAGTTTTACATTTCAAGTTTTTTTCAACTAAGTTGAGTTTGTGCAAGAAAAATGAGTATTTAATATGTTTATATATAGAATATAAAATCTATAGAACTGTAAAGTTGTTTTGTTTTACATTTTAAATAACAAAAATTAAAAAAAGCAAGCTGATGATTTGAAATTGCTACGCGGCAACCTTAACTTTTTTAAACAGTAAGGAGGTTTAAAATATATATTTTTAATAATATTTGAAAATTCTAATTTTCTATTTAAATTACACCATTTTATAAAATTTATTATTTTTAAAAATAATTTAAAGTTAAAATTATTTAATATTGATATAATACAAAAATTATGAGTTTTACAGCTATTCTATTACGCTTCCGTTAAACATTCTAAACCGAGTGCGCAACAACAACAGAATTTAGATAGCCATCAAAATAGTATACTCCATTATTTTTTGGCTTAATGTTTAGATTAGGTATTGTCCATTAATTATGCAACTCTAAATTTCATTAATGAACAAAACAATGAAGATCAAAAATTTCCCTCACAGAGTCATAACTTAAATAAAAAATCAAAATAGCTCATTAAGTTTAATGAAAATGGCCACCTAAAAGAACTTAAGATATCCTTCTTTTTTTAAAATACATTTAGCGTTGCGTAATTTATGGATGATTCTTTAGCATTTTATAGTCTATAGTTTTTAATGGTCTAAGATTTTTTTAGTTCTGTCATTTGTATAATGTTGCGTACAAACGTCTGTAAGTTTAAACGTCTGTAAGTGTAAACGTCTTTAGCATATGTTGAGTAGCAGGCAGTATACAGAACAATCATGTATCTATAAAAATGAGAAAACTTTTGAATTTTTTTAACAATTATTTTAACAATTAGAATTGAATGAATTATTTTAACAATTAGAAAACATTTTTACTATATTATTATTTTTTTACTATAAATATTGCTATAATTATTATAGATATATACTAAAATAAAAATTTTGCTATAAATATAGCAAGATTAAAAAATATTCAAAATTTATTAGGGGAGATCTTTAATTCCCCAAAACAACACTGATAGTGCACTAAACTACTGAGCTATCAGTGATATGGGTTTAGGAGAAAAATAAACCTAGTTATAAATCTCTTATAAACTCTAGGTATTCAGAAAAGGTGCGCATGTTAATTTTTTTGCTCTTAAAGCAATTTTTCAAAATGATTTCTTTTATTTAAAAATATTGAAGTAAACAAATAATAGGTATAGAAATGATCGGTATGTAATAAATAAGTATAGAAATAGTAAGTTTGATAAAGACCTGTGTTTTATGGATTCGGAAAGCTGAGATATATATATAAGGAAAAGTATAGAAAAGCTCAGTGTGGAATAGACTTACAAAGACCCATATTTTTATGGGTCAGATAAGCTAGTTTTGATTATTTTTCAGATTATTAATGATTAATGTATAATATAAATGTACCATAATGGAAACTAGACATAATGATCAATATGTACAAATGATATTAGGGACCACTCCTGGTATCAATGACAAGAAAATCAAGGGACATAGACTACCAACAAAGAAGCATCTAGTTCTTTACCTGCTTTCAAATCTTAAGGATGAACTCCATACATAATGATGCATTATCTCTTACAATTGATAATGTCCCGAAGCATTATATGAAGACAAATATCCCTCCAATAAGTGGAAGAAATAACATTGGCAAAATAATCAAGGAAGTACATGATGAATTTATGAAGTTAATGAAATACAATGAAAATTGAAGATATTTGGATAACCTAGGAATCAAGAAATTTGTGTCAACATAAGATGCTACCATGACGTTTAATAAAAAATCTGTTCTCCAAGATATGGAAGCTCAAAAATGACATTAAGCATCAAAGGAAAAAAATCCATTAATGCAGACAATGCTTTCATGCAAAGCATGATTACTGACAGGAAAGCATCTGGTTAAAAAAAAAAAAGCATTAAGGTATTGACAAAGTCCATGCAAAAGTTGTTGAGAAGAGGCAGAAAAGAATCTATGATAAAGCTTTTGTTCAATGTTAAAAGAAACTATTGAGTTTGAGTTAACCAGTAGTTGTTGTGATGAATCGTTTGGAAGGACCATTGGACTCAATTAAGCCTGCTCTGAAATTGAAAGGTGACACAAAAGGCAATGGTAAACACATATTTGTTCCACATGATATTCTCAAATGTTACTGCCTGGAGTGTGAGGAATAACATTAGTAATACTAAGATAAATTCGTTTGTACATTTGATGATATCTGTAACATGGTTGTCTCTGTTGCAACAAAAAATCTACTAAATCAAATCAAAAAATCATTTTTGTAGAAACTCTAGGATTACAAATACTGTGGAGGTTTTAAGCAATGGACTAATTGCTATTAGATATAGTTTTATTAAAGAATTAATTCATTCACTCTTTACATCAAAGGCAACATACTGCAGCATGTGTTTGCCTGCTAGGCAGACACATGCTGCTGTATGCTGTACTGGTCCAAATATTCAACTTTTTACAAGGTAAGTCTAATGCTTTTACAACATCATTGAACAAAAATATTTTTTTAATTGATTAAATATACTTAAGTGACTTAAAAGTGACCTAAATAGGCTCAAGTGGTTTGCAACTTGCACCAGTTAATAAAGCAAGCTTTTATTATTCTGAACTTCCTAGAGCAACTGAGAAGGAACAAGAAAGCTTAACAAATGGCTTTTGTGAATTCCTAGAGTTAGTTTTTACTCAAGGAGATTACGAAGAACATATTGAACTCAACATGTTATTAGTTATGAAAAGATCCAAACCTCAGAAGTTTAGTATGAAGCACCCTGGAGCCTTGCACAAAGCAAGATGGATGGCAAAACTTATGTACACTATGAAAATAGTCCAATTGTCCAGAAAGATAATTGAGCAGTTTCACAATTCAGAAATTGCAACCAAAAATCAAATCAAGAAATTAGAATGTTTCTGTGTGTTTGCAGTAAGTGTCTACAAGCAATGGTGGATTAATTGCCCATATGCAGCTGATCAATGATTGACCAGTCAATGATTTGATTTTAGTCAAGAAACTAAAACAGTTTGCATGCCATGATTTTATAATTGCTGAAAAAGGAATAAAAGCTCTTAGCAGACATAGTTGGTATATGAATGAAGAGCTTGTTCTATTGGCTCTTTTCTCACAAATGGTATCTGATGAAGACAAAGAATATGAGGCTGCAGCTCCTCCAAATTTAAAGTGCTGAAAGTACTACAAATCATGTAGGGGCATCCTTCAGAAAGCTTAATTTTAGGCTAATTTCAGAGGAGATAAAGTCACTGAGTTATTTAATTGGTCCTGGATCAATGAGGTTTTTCCATATTGTGAATGCTCACTAAGAGTTTCTTCCAACACCAGCAAATAGAAAAAAATGGATGACTTTCTTGAAATGAAGACAATTGTTCAAAATCTTTAATTAGTCACAAAGCTGCCAAAAGAGGAGTAAATTATGTCACGATTTCTTAGGTGTAACAAATGATGGAGAAAGGTTTCCAGATATACTCCAAGTAGTTAAAAGTTTACAAAAAAAGTTTCCAGGTCAGCACAAACTATCATCATGTTCTCAAGAGAAGTCAAAGTTTCTAGCACTAGATGATAATTGATGATTAAATACAGACTATAATAGAGGCTAAAGAGAGGTTACAATTTTTATAATAATTAATGAACATTGTGAACATGGTATTACATAAGTGAGACATAAATATCGTTAAATAGCTCTAGGGAGTTCAAATTATTTAATGCTTTTTTTACTGCGTCCATCACTTTTAAAAATCTTTCAACCATTGTTGAAACACAATGCTATTCCATCTGGCCCGGCAATCTAGCAGTAAATTGAGTTCAATTCCAACTTTTACATTGTCTTGTAAAATGGACAGTGCTCTACTTTTACATAGTCTTGTAAAATGGAATTTCTTTTAAGGAAATGTTTAAAAAATTATTTTTCTAATCATTTGTAAAGCGGCATTTATATCTTCTCTTTAACATGTTTGCGGTTCGAAATCATTTAGATAATCATTTTCAGATACGCTAGAGTTATCACTGAAAAATCTAGATTCATTTTCTAAAGAAACAATGTGAGGAATATTAGAATTTTTATTTCTTTTATAAATAACATCCATTATAGCCAAGTGTATGCCATAGTTATAACATAGTTGGTATATAAAACCAGATAATCTACCAAATTTGATCATTACTGCAGCATCAGTGGTCGATGCAAAACATCTGAAGAGATAATTGCAAACTCTGATAATTTTTCTTTAACTAGATCAATTGTTAATTCAGCCGTGAATTTTAACCAGTCCTAGATTAATAAATAACTTATTGAAATGAATATTGATATTCAAATATATTCAATTATGTAGACTTGTCCATTCATCATACGCTAGACTAAATTTTCAGCTTTTCTTTATGTGATTTTATTTTAACAATAAAGTCATTTTTTGCCATACCACATTATTCATGAATTAGTTTAATCACATTATTTTTACCTTTTGGAAGATGATATTATTTTTCACTGAATGCTTGATGAATGAACTCACTTTTGCATATTTGGTGAATTGAAAATTCATCAACGGCCGCAAGTCTTGCAACTATCTCTGCTAAGAACTGTTTCTTAGCAAAAAATGATGTGAGAGACCTACTTGCTTTTGTAAGGATTGTCTCAAAGTTACTTGAACCAGCATTTTGATTGTCATTTAAATTTCTTTTCTTGATATTAATGTTAAGAACATGTTGCAAATTATTAATCCACTGATTGACAAGCTCTTACAACTTAATAATTTATTCGGACATTTCAAACACTTCAGGCTTGTTCGCCTGCTCTTTTTTTTGAAAAATATTTCCACCCTGAATCAGCCATGATTCAAACAATGTTTCTGTGATTCTAAATAAAGAAAATTTAGAATATTAGAACAAAGAAAGTAGTTTTGGGGTTTAAAAAAAAAATTAGAATATTTTAAAGCTTACTTGTCAATATGTGGAGAACTGAATGTTTTTCGAAATTTTTTGAATAATAAATTTAATTTCAAACTTTAAAGAGTAACTTTGGTTTTTTTTTTTAAATTAATGTTTGTTTTGAATTATGTTTTACAAGCATTTAGTGTTTTGTATTAGAAATGATGACTTATGTTAAATCATGTTTAATTAAAAAAATTATGATTTGATTTTTTACTTTTTTCTATATTATAGGTGACTTCTAAAGTCAGATTATACACATTAAATAGTTTTGTGGACATTAATATAATTTTATTTTGAATAAATAATTATTTTTAATTTTTTCCCTGGAAATTATGGTAATTTTCCAGAGTAAGGGAAAATATAAAGTAAAAAAAATTCTCAGCAATTACCAGGAAGAACCTTCTAATTCCATCAAAAATAAAGTGGATAGTAATGTGGGTGCAACTGATGGAGTTCTCGTACTGTCTGCAGATCCTGATTATATTGGAAGATAGAAATTATGAGCCAAAGTTGTTAAGTCACAATTTAATGATCTTGTTACTATCACTGTCTAAAGAGAAAGCAGAGCTTCTTGTTTCGAGATTACAGGAGAACAATTTACTTGACAAAAATGTTTGGATCAGTTAGTACCAAAAATATGTTCCTGGTATAACCTTGATCAACTTGTTTCTCCACACAGCAAATTAAAGAGTTGAGAGATTGTAACCACAGTAGAAAAATAAGTTTATATGTTTATATTTAAAAAATAACAAAATTTGCTGGACCCAACTAAAAAATATTTTTATTTTAAAGTTTTTTATATTCAGTGGCAACTGTTTTTAGCAATCATTTACATATATAAGTATTATTTATTTTGAGATCAATTATGTAAAAACTGTTTAAAAAACTATTTAGAATTCAGATTAGTTATATTTATTTGAAATGATACAAATATATAATTTAATATATATTTGTAATTAAATAAATATTTACTTTGTGAAGTAGAATTATTGCTTTGTTTTAATAATGTTTAGACATTGATATTAAAATATTTCACCAGATGAAAATGTCTAAATTATTTGACTAATTACCTTTAATCAAAAATATTTTATTTTTATGGTGATATGACAAAAGTTATAAGGAAAAAGTTTAAATTGAAATTGAAATCTAAAATGAAATATACACGCATCAACTAATGTATGTATATTTATAGTGATAAGCAATTGTAATCTAAATTAATCTAAAAGCAATTGTAAAATCTAAATTGAAATATACACGCATCAACTAATGTATGTATATTTATAGTGATAAGCAATTGTAACTTTATATACAATCAAAGATTTTACTTTAGGCAAGCTATAGATTGTTGCATAAAAATGTACAAAATAATTTTGTTGTTGTTGTTGTTGCTACAACAACAACTAAAGTTTACTCTTTGTTGATAAACCTAAACTATAATGTTGTTGCTATATTTTATTCAAACTTGATTTCTATGATGGCATTAAACTGTTTCGTTGTTTTTATAATTTTATATATATTTTTATATTATGGAATTGGGTTTATTTATCCAATCTTATCAAGTATTAATTTTAGCGACTTGTGTTTATAATAAAGTTTTATGTAACAGTATTTATCACATCAGTTGTGCAGTTAAGTAATTTGTGGTTAAAAATTATATTCTATCAGAATTTTTATTATTTAATATTTTAGTTACTTTATATATATATATATATATATATATATATATATATATATATATATATATATATATATATATATATATATATATATATATATATATATATATTATTGTAATTTTGTTATAGTATTTGATATTGAATTCACATCATCTCTTTTTTTTATATGTTGTTTATGTCTTCTGTTTGTTTTAGGTTTAATTTTTAACAATAAAAATATTGTTGATAGTGATTTGTGATCTACTTAAATCTTTCTTCTGAACATCTGTCTATGTTCTTCTGTTTGTTTTTCTTTGTTTTTATTACTTGCCTTCTTTTATATAAAAAAAAAGCTGAAAAAAGTTGCTGTGCAATGAAACAAATTTAGCATTGTATGACTAGGTACATAAATTGAACAAGGTACCACTACATCATTGCTGCATTTTTTTAAATATATATCAAAATTTATGAAATTTTATTATTTTTATTTTAGCTTGTTTGATGTGTTATTAACTGTTTTTATTTTAATCTTTATTATTTGTTCTACTTATTTGTTCTACTTATTTGTTCTAAAGATAAAATTGTATTTTTAGGAAACAAATTTTACTTTGATTTATATATTTTTTTCTGCATTGACATGGCCAGATTCTTCATCACTTGTAAAAATATGTTCTGTTATAATGCCTATTATCAAAAAGGTTATTATTTTTTGATTTAATGTTGTGTATAATTGATAGATATTAGTATTTTTTGCGTAATATTTTATTAAAACTTAATGCTTGCCATAACTTTTTTTCACTTACCAATAATTTTGATTAACCAGTTTACTTTTATTTATTTCATTTTTAACTTTGCTGAGAGTTTTTTTTTCCACTTTCCAGCCAAGCTCTTGTAACTTTTGCATTGTCAATTTTGCAATGTAAGTAGGATTTTTTATGACAAAGTGTTGTCATAAAAAAAGTAAACTTTGTTGTACCCTGAGCAAGCCTTCCCAGGATATGAGCGCACTTTTTCTTTTTGGTATGTTCACACTTAAGTTTTTTGTTTTAGACAACTTGGTCACAACCGTTTGCAAGTTTTATTATATAAGGCTTTTTAATACTTTGTGGAAAAAGTTTCAAAAGCAAAGAAACAAAAGTAACAAAATAGGAAATTAAAATGAATTTAAATAGAAAAAAATAAAAATTAAAACTAATAGTTTAAATAATTTGTGTATTGTTTTTATTTTTGTTTCATATATTTCATTGTTGATACAATTGAAAAATAAAAAATACAAAGAAGCGTTAAACACACAATTATTGAACTTAGTATTTCAAAAGATTTTTTTGATTGCAATACATATACTTGTGATTTATGATGCTGATTGTTTTGAGAACATCATATTTTTATTTTTGTATTTCTATATTGTATGCAATTATTCTATAAATGAAAATGCGTGTACAAACCTAATTTATTTTTTAGGCATATCTGCAACCACTAAACCTTTTAAAATATTTTTTGAACAGTTTTTTTATCGAGAGCTCCCTACTTTAATTTCTTTTTTTTGATCTGGAACAGGAATTATATGACTTTTGCATCAAAACTCTACAAAGATAGAAGTTTAAAATCAAGAAATGTGAATTTTTGTGAACTTTATCTGCCATATGCTACTCTTCTTGATAATTTTATTTTGCAAAATTTACAAATTGTTTTTGAACGGTTTATCAAAATCAAGATAGCCCAAGGTTGGACTTTTAGTTGCTTTGCTCATTGTGGATTTATTCCTTATTAAATTTTATTTCTAAGTATACATATGTGTGTGTGTGTGTGTGTGTGTGTGTGTGTTTATATATATATATATATATATATATATATATATATATATATATATATATACACACACATATATATATACATATATATATATATATATATATATATATATATATATATATATATATATATATATATATATATATATATATATATATATATATATATACATATATATATATATACATATATATATACATATATATATATATATATATATATACATACATATATATATATATATATATATATATATATATATATATATACATATATATATATATACATATATATATACATATATATATATACATATATATATACATACATATATATATATATATATATATATATATATATATATATATATATATATATATATATATATATATATATATATATATCCTTATAGTGTAGTCGAAAGAGTCTTTTAATGTAAAAAAAGTCTTTTTCGACTACAGTTTTAATTACCTTGTCTCTTAAGCTGTTTTTGATTGTTGTCGAAATGTCAAAGCAATTAAATTAATGCGGAAGTACATTAAATTTTATTGTTTTTTAAAAATTTTTTAAAAAACCGCAATAATAACGACTAGAAAGTTTTTTTTAATTAGTGGTGTTTTTGTTTTATTAAAAAACATTTTTAAAACATGCGTAAATGCTACATCGACTATCTTATAGCCTGCTGCTACAAGGGAGTGTTTCTACATCGACTATCTTATAGCCTGACCTGCTACATCGACTGACAAATAGCCTGACTCGCAACGGAGTGCTGCTACAACGACTGACAAATAGCCTGACTCGCAACGGAGTGCTGCTACATCGACTGAGGGTTTGGTTTGGGCAGGCAGTCTATCATTTAAAAAAAAAAAAAATTAAGTTTTTAAACTTTTTCTGGTCTGGTTTATTAACGCGCTCTTTAAAACTACAGTTTATGGGAAACTCTTTCTGACTACCATGCAAGAGTATATATATATATATATATATATATATATATATATATATATATATATATATATATATATATATATATTATATATATATATATATATATATATATATATAAATATATAAATATATATATATATATATATATATATATATATATATATATATATATATATATATATATATATATATATATATATATATATATATATATATATATATATATATATATATATATATATATATATATATACTCTTGCATGGTAGTCAGAAAGAGTTTCCCATAAACTGTAGTTTTAAAGAGCGCGTTAATAAACCAGACCAGAAAAAGTTTAAAAACTTAAATTTTTTTTTTTTTAAATGATAGACTGCCTGCCCAAACCAAACCCTCAGTCGATGTAGCAGCACTCCCTTGCGAGTCAGGCTATTTGTCAGTCGTTGTAGCAGCACTCCGTTGCGAGTCAGGCTATTTGTCAGTAAATTTACCAATTTACACACTTCAGCGCCATCATAAGCGCCCATTAAAGATTCCACCATTAAATTTTGTTTAAATGAAAAACAACATTAATAATAGTACTTACAGTTTCAAGCCATATACAGCAATCAACAGCTATTAAATACATTTAAAAAACCGTTTAAAAAGGTTTATTTACAAATGAATTCAAAATTATGGTAGAATGACTTCTGATGTAATGAAAAATGTAACTATTTAGTCTCAAAAGAGAAAGTTTGTAAAAGTTTGTTGGAATGTTGATACTTAGATAATATTTCTTTCTTTTATTAAGCAGGTTGTTTACAATGTAATATAGAATTATAAATTTCTCATGAAGACAGATGTTACAAAATTTGAATGTTGTTTTGATAGGTTTACAGTGTTTTATGATTTTCTACTTTATTGTGTGTTATATGTCCTTTTCTTTTAAATTCCAAAAAGGTTTTAAACGATTTGGGTATCTAAGCTTGAATGGTGTTTCACTGATACCGAAATATACATTTTCTTTTTCTTTAGAATTAGGATTTTCATAAATAGCTTGATAAACAATATTACATAATAAACATTGATTGTTTAATGGGCATTTGACTTTATAATGTAGTTGCAATTTCTTTGTATCACTGTGCAAAAATCTTGGTGTTATCTGAAATAATTATGGAATTTAGGTTTTACATACAGCTATAAGATAACTTTGATTGAATTTCTGTTAAATATTTTGTAAAATTTATGGTTTGCTAGGAAGTGCAGGTCAATTAATGCTAGTAATAAATAAATGACTGACTATTTTTGTTTTCGCATTCTGACTAAATGGAGGGTTGTATCATATGACTTTTCGCTTTCGTTTTTTGTTTTTAGTCATGGTAACTTGTATTTCAGTTTACAATTATAGCCAGACTTTTTTAATGCTTCTTTCGAAAGTTGGATAGCATTATAGAAAACAGATTCATTTACTAGCGTGGCAGGTAATCTCAATTCAACAGTGCCAGGGACTCTTTTGATTATACACCTAGTACCTATCATTATTTGATAGGGGTACTAGGTGTGTGGTTTGAATCACAGTGAACATAATTCAGCTCATTGTCGCATAAATGGTATGATTGAAAAGAATTGTTTTTGTGATCAAATGTTGCATCAAGGTAGTTAACTATTTTCATATTTCATATAGAAGTAAGAAGATTGTTATTTTTAAAAATTTTTACAAAATGTTCTTTGATTTTTGACCAGAATCATTTCTATTATAATAGTGCGAAAGTTGAAATAAAAAAAAAACTCCTACCAATTTACACACTTCAGCGCCATCATAAGCGCCCATTAAAGATTCCACCTTTTTTCTTAATCCACACATCTTTGTTGTTAAAGAGTAAAGATTTTCTTGCAAATTTTATTGTTTTGTTTTCAGTATTTATTATTAGATGTTGTTCGGCAAAGTTGATTGTTAAGCATTTTTTACACATATTAAGGGATAAATATCATTAATGTTGAAAAATAAAAATTTGTCAGTGACATTTAAAGTGCTTTGCCATTGATTGATAGCTTACTTCTGGGTTCATTTTAGTTTTTCGATAAAATAATTTTGCTTATTCTTCCTATCTCATTTTTTGCTGAATTCAAAAGTCGTACTGTATGGTTATTAGCAAAATTTTCTTTGTGACCTTTTAAAGAAAAAACATCCAAAAGAGCCATTTATTTTGATTTTATCATAAACATGGTTTTGTAAAACATGTTTCCCTTCTTTTTTTTGCTGTTTGGTAGGAAACTTTAATTATTATTATTGTTTTTTTATTGAAACGAAATTTGAATATATATATATATATATATATATATATATATATATATATATATATATATATATATATATATATATATATATATATATATATATATACTGTTTACTATTGCATTTTTCTTCTTAGCTTCTGTTTTGGCTATGCTTTTGGCTAAAGCACCATCTGTTATCCCTATTTTCAAAAATTCTGGAGCATAAGCAAGGTTTTTGAGTGTTTAATTAACAATCACTTAATCTCTTATCTTGAATCTAATAACTCACTTTCTGAGTATCAAAATGGGTTTCAGTCTTCTCGTTCTATTGCTGATTTTTTAACGGTAAAAACTGATAGGTTTTATTATGCATTAGGTAGGTGTGGATAGGTTAAAGTTATCCCTCTCATCATTTCTAAAGCCTTTGATAAAGTTTGCCAAGCTGGTCTTCTCCACAAGTTCTCTTCTTATGGTGTATCAGGTAATGTCTTGAAGGTTATTGAATCCTTTATTACCAATCGTTGTATAAAAGTTGTCTTTGATTGACAGCACTCTTTTTCATATCCTGTAACTTCAGGGGTTCTTCAAGGTTCTATCCTTGGCCCTATACTCTTTTTAATTTACATCCCAGAAATTCTCACATCTAAGGTGGCATTGTTTGCTGATGATACTACCATTTATTCTTGTCTTGATAAGAAGCCAACACTCTATGATTGCTTGGAGGGGGCATTTGAGATTGAAAAGCATCTAACTTCTGCTACAGCATGGGACTCTCAGTGGCTGGTGAACATTAACTCAGATAAATCTGAACTCAGATAAAAGTGAACATTAACTCAGATAAATGCCATATCTAGGGGGAATCTTGGAATGATGCCCTTTCTCTATTAGACAAAGTGCAAAAATGCATTGTAAACATAGTTGGACCTGTTCTTGAGGCCAACCTCCACATCGTTGTAATTTTGCTTCTCTTTCTCTACTATGAATACTATAATGGGCACTTCTATAAAGAACTAACGCCTCTTGCACCATCTACTAAAATTCATTATTGTGTTACTTGTCATTCAAATAAGTCTTGTCATTTTACTGTGACTGTTTGTAAGTGCTCCAAAAATTCTCATTTATCTAGTTTTTTTCCTCGAACATCAGTTCTTTGGAATTTGCTTCCTTTATCTTGTTTTCCTGATTCATATATATTTTGCATAATTTTTGCTCTATGAACTTCATCTTTTTTCTTCCAGTAATTTCCAGCTCTAATAGTGGTTGTTTGCAGCCTTGTTGGAAGTTAAGATGTTGAGAAAAAAAAAATTTATGCAATCAGCATCTGCCAAAAATGTACCAATCAGCATAGGCCAAAAGGAGTGTACCTCCAGTATTTAGGCCTGAAGGAGGCATCGGTTCACCCCTAGTATTTTTTTGGACCAAACAGACAAGTTTTGAGCCAAAAGTGTTTTATTTTTTAAATTATTTTAAATTTTTGTTATTTAGACTTTTGCATTATATGGTTCTATCAATCCAGTAATACCTAGACAGTTATTAATTCATCTTTTGACGGTAAAAAAACATTTTTTATAAACATTTATTGTAAACTTTTTTGTTTTCATTTGTTTTTTTATTTTTTTAGTTTTACTAAAGCATAGAATGAAAATTCATTGTGATGTTGCTTATAATAATATATTTATTTCTTTAGGGTTTACAAAAGCATGGAATGGAAGTTCATTCTGAAGCTGCTCTTTCTAATACTATTTATTATTACTACACACATCTAGTGGGTTGAGTTTATTATTATTATACACATCTTGTGGGTTGAGTTTATTATTACTACACATATTTTGTGGGTTGAGTTTATTAAATATTATTAATGTATTGCACACATTCTTATTATTTTAGAAAATTTTATTAGTAAAAAGTTATTTAAAAGTTTTTAAAAATTTGTTTTAAAGACTGCTATAAGTATTTTACTGAATTTTTTCCTCTCTTTCCGCTTTAATAATTATTAGTATTCATTAAAATCTTTAATAATCTCTTTAATAATTCTTTGCGATGGGCAAAAGTGATTTTGTTTCAGAACCAAAATTAGTTATTTGTTATGTATTTCCACCTGCTGAGTTAAAAAATGATATTAAAAATTACATATTAGCCCTAGTTTAAAAAGTAAAAGCAAAATATTTTTCTTAAATTTTCACTTAATAAAAAAATAGCTTAATAGTTTAAAAATAATTATGAAAAAGATTTTGCTTTGACTATCCATTTTATTTGTTTTATGTTTAAAATTTGTGAGTTATGTTTTCTAAAGAGTCTGACCTTATAGTTTTTTTTTAATTTACTAGTGTAAGCATTGACAAATCAACATGCCAAAAAAGTGTGTTAATTTATTGGAAATTTTTGTTTTAACACAAATGTGTTGAAATAAAATTTTGATCACAGAAAAAAACCATGACACCTCTTGGTAAGCATAATTTCTGTATGAAAGTAGGAGAAACAAAAACAAAAACAAAATATTTTATTGCGTAATACTAACATAATTTCTGTATGAAAATAGAAGATAAGTTATGGGCTCCACATATATGTTTATAGCATTTATGTGAAGCCCTCTGGTTTGGTTACACTTAAGAATGTTTGAAAATTAAAAAAGATCTTCGCTTTTTGCAGTTCCTTTGGTCTGGAAGGAGTCTAAACACCTTATAGTTGACTGTTATTTTTGCTTGACACCTATTATAACAGGTTTGTCAATGAAGAAAATAGGAACAGTTAGATATCCGAATCTCCCATCTGCCATTCGACCTATTCCACATTGGGATAGTTTACACATTGAGTCAAACAGAATTAAGTGATCTTACTCAAAATTTTGCCAGGGCTAAACAATATTTTGTCAGGACAATCAAATCTGAACTTCTAGAATCAAGACTAGGCCAGGGTGGCCAGCAACCTGGAAAACCTGGAAAAGTCAGGAAAATTCTAAAATATGCTAAAAAGTCAGGGAAAAGTCAGGGAATATGTTAAATTTTCCAAAAGTCATGGAAAAGTTAGGGAATTTTGGTGGATTCAGTAACAAAATATTTATATTTTATTGTGTATTAGAAACTAAAAATATTACTTTTTATATGCTATATTATTTTGTAAAACTTTATTATTATTCTTTTTCACATTTTGGTACTTACTTTTCAAAAATATTTTGTCAATATTATATAAAGATCAAACAGGAAAGCAATTTGTTGCAGTCCCTTTTTTCACTTATTTCAAAAGGGCTAAATGACTAAATGTGTGAAAGGGAACAAAATTTTAATTTTGTCATATTGTGTTATTAGTTAGAAAATTAGTTTTAATCTATCACTGTAGTATTTTTTGTTATAGCAAATAGTCAAATTCTATAAATATACATAGTGTTTGTTTTAAGTTAATAATCTTTTAATTCCAAAATATTAAAAAAAGTTAGAAGTTTGTGTTGTACTTATATAAATGTGCTTACATCTTGTGTTTAGAAAATATATTTAAAAAATGTCACAACAATGTTACTTCAGCAAAGATTGGTTAAATAAAATGCTTTACACTGATTGGTTTTTATTTAAAAGAAGTTTCTAATAGTCCTGCGCAGGCAATGTTCTATTTGTCGAAAAACATTTGATTTAAGTAACATTGGCATTCAGGCAGTAAAAAGTCATGAAAGAAGTAAAAAGCATGTCAATAGTGTTAGTTTGTATAAGAACCAGTTGCCAATCTATTCTTTATTTAGTAAACATCAAATCCAAGAATTAGCTTCAAACAGTATTGTAAAAGATACAAATCAAATAAAAACAGTATTATTCCAAAACAGTTTATGTGCTTTGAGTGATGTAAGTTCTGCAAGAATTTAGAAAACAGTTGATAGCTATGCTCTACGAGATGAAGTCACAAAAGCAGAAATTAACTGGGCTTTACGAGTTGTATCCCACCATGAATCTTACAGGTCCTGTATTAATATAGGAAAAACATTTAAACAAATGTTTCCTGACAGTGAAATAGCTAAGCAGTTCAAGCTTGGAAAGACAAAGATTGCCTATAACATAACTCATAGTATTGCTCCCTATTTCCATGATGTTCTTCTGCAAAATATTTTAAATTGCAATTTTTTGTGCATAATGTTTGACGAGGCACTTAACGGAGTAATACAACAAAGCCAAATGGATATGTGTGTGCGCTTTTGGGATATAGAGAAACATAAAGCTAATACTCGTTACTTTTCATCTGCTTTTTTAAGGCATGCAACTGCTAATAAACTAAAAGACAGCTTTAATGCAGTGATTGGGGACATGTTATTGCCAAAATTAATTCAAGTTTCTATGGATGGACCCAGTGTGAACTGGAAATTTTTTGATGCTGTAGAAGAAAATCATTTAGCAAAATTTGGTATTCAGTTAATTAACAACGGATCATGTGGCTTCCATGTAGTTCATGGGGCATTTCAGAAGGGGCACAAAGAAGCTGGTTGGAAAGTTAATTCAGCATTAAGTTCCTTATTTTTTAAAGATTATCCTGCTCGCAGAGCAGACTATTTAGCAATAAACGGTGGTAAAGCAAAGTTTCCTTTAAAATTTTGTATGATGGGGTGGGTGGAGAATGCTGCAGTTGCAGAGAAAGCTCTTGAAATTTTTAACAATGTGAAAACTTACATAGAAAGGTCAAAATTACTGATGACTATTACTGCACAGAATGTTATTGAAGCTATCACAGATCCTCTAATCAAAGCTAAAATCAGTTTTTTTTGTCTGTTGCCAATGTAGTAGAACCATTTCTTATGCGATTTCAGTCACCAAGTCCTTTAGCTCCTTTCCTATATGATGAGTTATATCATCTGATGTCATGCCTCATGGAGAGAAAAAATGTTTTCACAAAAGCTGATTCATTACAAAAGTTGTGGAAGGTAGATCTGCAGAATTAAAAGTGCAATTGGAGAGACGTGGTAATTGGTGTTGGAGCTGTTTTTGAGTTACAGAATTGTAAAACTGTTAGTAGTCAAAAAATTAATTTTTGAGAAGAATGCATTGGCTTTTTAATTGCTGTAGTCACTAAATTAAAAGAGCGTTTTCCACTTAAATACAAGGCTACTAGGCATTTATCATGGTTTTCACCAAAGGTTATCATCAGGTCACCTGACAAAGCAAAGATCCGTTTTGATTCTCTAGCATTATTTCTGCATGAATCTGGGCTAATAAAATCAGTCCTAGCTGATCAAGCTATGAGTCAGTATTCTCGCCTATGCAATTTGGCATCATTAAAAATGGAGATTTTTGAAAATTTTGATTTCACTAAGCAACGTTTAGATGACTTTTACTATGAACTAATTGGAGAAGATATGCAATACTCAGCGTTGTTTGAAATAGCAAAATTTGTAATGATTTTATCTCATGGCAATGCATAAGTAGAGCAAGGTTTTAGTATTAACTCAAATGTTTTAGTAGAAAATCTTGCAGCAGAATCTGTAGTGCCCAACAACAAGTTTATGATGCAATCCTTGATGTAGGTAGGCTGTGCAATGTACAAATCACACCAAAAATGTTGAAAAGTGTTCGTTTATCGTATGACCGATGCCAACAAGCTCTGTCTGACAGGAAAAAAAACAAAAAAGAACAACAAAAGGAACTGTGTGAAAAGCGGTGTGCAATTAATAAAAGAGTTAAAGGCCAAAAAAGCCAGATTAGAAAAGGATGCTGAAAGTGAATTGGTTGCTATTAATGCTGAAATAAGCCGTTTGTCATCGTCCATATACGATTATTAGTCTTGCTGATTCTTGGTTACAACATAGTAACATTTGTGTAGACATGAATTTTCAGCTTCATTTTTTAACTTCATACTTAATTTTTTTTTTTTTTTTTTTTTTTTTTTTTTTTTTTTTTTTGTATCAAAGTGTTTATTTATATAAAGTAAAGAGTTTTTAAGAAAACTTCGATTATTTGTGTAAAGTTTTGTGTGTTTTATTTGTTGCCTTTTTATTGCTAGATTTGTTAAATTTATTTTGGTAAGTCAGGGAAATTCCATTGTAGTCAGGGAAAATGAAATCATAAATGCCTGGCCACCCTGCTAGAGTAGTGGAATCTTCTCTAGCTTGATGTCAAAGTTTAACATTAAAGAAAATGGCAGCAGAATCTTCTATTTTTGAGAAAAAATATAGTCTTGTTGTTTGCATTTATGTCTTTGCATTAATATCTCAATTTAAACTATGATACAACTAAAGATTATTCATAGACTCATCTAAGTTAAGCTTGAAAGCTGTATTACTGCATAATCGAAACTTTTTTTCTGTTTTGGCTATGCAGTTCACATGAAAGAGACTTATATAAACATGAAAGCACTCCTCAGCTCAACCAATTACAATAAACATAAATAAAAAATTTCACTTCCTCTTTTCACATCTAGACTTTTTTCCCTCCAGTTGTGGAGTTATTGGTGATAAACATGGGGAAAGGTTTCACCAAAATATTATTGTAATAGAGCAAAGATATCAGGGTCTTTGGAATGAAGCTTTCAGATTGTTGGTGTGAAGGGTTGTTCCAGGACTTGCATACAGATGCAAATCAAAAAAATTACGATCTTGTGACAAATAATAGTCTTTATATCTTAGCTTGATGATCATGATTTCTTAGTTAAAAACTATTAGCATATATCCGTGTGAAAAAAACCAAATGCACTTTAAATATTATTAGAATATTTTTATTTCATATTGCTCTGTTGTGAATTAGCTAAAAATATAAATTTATTGCTATTGTATATCTCAGAAACTAGAGCTAATAAAAACTTCTCGTTATTATTTTCTTTTTTCTCTGCCCTAAATTAGTATTTTGAAAAATTAGTTATTTGAAAGTTGAAGATTGAAAAATTGAAAAATTTTTGGTGTTGCTTAGTGTTATTAAATATATTTAAATAAAATGTTTGGCTTTAGTATATACATAAACTGATGAGTCTAAGTACAATCATGTAATGTTTTACAATACATACATAAATACATAATATGTACATACTGTTCCTAAATATGCATAGATACAACTCATAGATTTGTTTCGAGTTTTTTTAATACTTTTTTTTTTTTTTGTAATACACAATCGTACTAAAAACGAAAATTTTGAACACCAAAAAGATGTCTAAAATACTAGCATTAAAACATTTTAATGATGTTTATTTTGTAAAATAGCTTTATTCAAATATATATATATATATATATATATATATATATATATATATATATATATATATATATATATATATATATATATATATATATATATATCTTTATTTTTTACTTCACTTTACTTAGGTATATTTAAAGTATAGCAACCATTTGCAATTTTCATTATAAAATTACTATACTTTAAATATTATAAATTATTTTAGAGAATGCAGTATCCTAACTTAGCTGAAGTCTTAGTACAAATACCAACATGCTCGTTTCAAAAACTGAAGGTCTGTTTGATGTAGACTTTATATTAATTTGGAAAAGCTTTTATATAGTAAAATTATTACTATACTTACCAAATGGTACTTTTTTGCATAATTTTGTTATGATTGTGTTATTTCAAAAATCATTTTCGAATTTTTAAGTTTAAAAATCTTTAGTCGTAATTTTTTTTTTTTAAGGAATTAGATTCAGAAATCGATAATGAAAACAAGTCTAAAGCAAAATTTAGAAAACTTATTAAAGGAGCATGTGGGGTTAGTAAAAAATTAGTTTTTAGATGTTTAATCATTTGTTTATGTTTGAATATATATTTTTTAATTTATATTATAAATTAAAGAAATAAAGTTACAACATAAAAGTTTAAGTTACAACAAATAAACATAAGTTAGTTAATCTACTTTATTCAAGTTTAAAAGTCTAATGTATTTAATGTATTTAATTTTACTCTATTAATTTAAATTTAAATTTACTGTATTAAATTATTTAAATATAAATATATATTTAAATATGTACGTAACTGTATTTAATTATTTGAATAATTTATTTAATTTTACTGTATTAATTAATTTACATTATTTAATTATTTAAATAGTGCATAATTTAATTAATGCATGTGATTAAATATGCAATTTTATTTTTGAAAAACATCTTATTAATCAATATTTGTTTGTATTTTTTATTATTATTTATTATTAAATTTTTTCTTTAGAAAAGTCTGAGTCGCACTTTTGTAAATCAGTATTTTTATGAAGAACTGCCGCCATTAGCTCGTCGAGAGAAAAATGATAATTCAATATTTTACGAAAATGATCCTCTTGTACTTTGCACTTTATTTGGTGATGATGATAATAAGTAATCTTTTTAAAGAAGTAATATTTTTAAAGAAAACAAAAATCTTTAATTTTTTTTTTAATAAATATATTAAAAATAAAGTGTCCGTTATGTTTTGAAATCATGTACTGAAATCACATTTGAAATTATTTACAAACAAGTTGTGTTATTTTTCAATGATGGAACAGATTACGACTAACACATTTAGTTAAATGGTTTGAAATTTTTTACTGAATTTCGCTAATTTAAATTTAATTTAGGAAGAAAATATTAGTAAAAAAAAAATTTTGTTTCAAAGTATTAATCCAAAAATTTATTTTCTTTTTCCACCACAACCAAAGTTGCGTTTAAAATATGGTTCAAACTAAATTGTTTCAGCTATTTACCGCACGTAGAAGAGAGCGGGGTATTGGCGAACAAATGTTGCCATTACCCCACTCTCAATGCTATGATAAAATAAAAATTTAGGGCTAAAACAAAACCTTTGGTGTTTGGAATTACCTTACGTACTTGGGGTAATTCTGATCACACTGTGGATTAATCACAAACAGTAATGGGTAATGGTTGGTTAATTAATTACGTGTTCATTGTCGCGAACTGACGTCTTTTATATAAATCGTTAAAAACAAAATATCTAAAGGTTTATCAAATTCTCAAGTTAAAGAATTTATTGAATTATATAAGAATTCATTATTAAAAATCTTTGGTGGTAAAATTAACAGAATAGGGTAATATAATCTGAATCTACTTTTACCTATTTCTGACTTTGAGCAAAAAATATATAAGCAAAACGTATTCTACAGATGAGTTTCCGTGCGACGTCACGTCTTTTTGTAAACAACATGCGCGCGCATACTTGTAGGTAGAAAAAATAAAAAACGCAAGAACTTAATTGTGTTTCTTGTATTTCTTTTCTACCCTAAAATCAATATTTCTACCCTAAAATTAATTTTTTCTTTAAAAAATTATTAAAAGAATAATAATTAAAATTAATTACAAATATTTCATATAAATTTTGGTGATAAAAGTTTTTATTGTTATTAAAAACTTTTGTTTAAAAAATTTTAAAACAGATGTTCTTGTTCAAATTTTAAACTCATTTTGAGTTTAAAAATAGCTGTTGCTCTTGCGATTTTTCTTATAAGTTTATTCTGTTTTTGGAAGTTAACAATAACACTTAACTTTTTAAAATAGTTAACAATATGATGAGTGAATATTTTAAAAGTCTAAAATTAGAAGAAGCAACAGACTACATAAAGAAGTTAACTCTTAAAAATGGGGAAGTTTTACCGGATCCGTTTATAATTGAACCAAAAGAATGGAGCAACGATCTCAATCATTTGCCAAACATTACATGGCAAGACGTTACTCAATATTTAATCGATACACCTAGCATATACACGAAGGAATCAATCAGAGCCTATAAATCCTTGGAAGCATATGATTACTTCACTTGTGGTCATGTTCAAGAATTATTTTATAATAAAATATCGAATAGGAGCAAATTCTGTTTTATAAAATCAAAGGTTATTTTTAATATATAATTAAAAAATAAATTTTTACTAGAGACGAATAAATAATAATTTTTATATAGAAATAATCTTTTTATAATTGGTCTTGCCAAGTCAAAGACAAAACAACAAAAATATGTATGATGTATGGACTTGTCTTGAGAAAGAACTTGGTTGGGTACTAACTGCTAATTGTTCGTGTATGGCTGGACTAGGATCAGCTTGTAGCCATGTAGTAGCATTATTATTTAAATTAGAAGCAGCTTCACGTTTAAAATTACACGAAACACCTCCTACAAGTATCTTGTGTACTTGGAAGAAATGCAAAAAATCTGTTCAGCCTGCTCCATTGCAGCTCATAAATTTTCATTGCAGCTCATAAAAAATCTTTTACAAAAAGATTTGGTTGCAAAGCTACCTTTAAAAAAATACTTTTCCAACAATAATCCAATGGATGGTGAGCACCAGTTAACAGCTCAAGAGATGGAAAAACTTTTTAAAATTAACCCAAAATCTGCAATTTTTACAAGTATTAATCTTACAGAATTTATGTCTTTTGAATATGACTCTAGTGCTACTGAAACTTTATCTGAGACAGAAGAGACAACACTTCCTGAAACTCTCACATCAATATATGATCCAACTAGTATAAATTTATCTGAGGATAAGTTGATCATTTTTTGCGAAAGTATATATAACGATTATAAAAATGATAATAATCAAAGGCAGTATAATAACTTATGCAACCAAACAAAAACACAATCATTGAATCCTGTTTGGATGATGCACCGTGCAGGGCGTATAAGAGCCTCAAATGCAAAAGAAGTATACAATTCTAACACAAACTATATGTCAAGTGAATCATTGGTCAAAAAAAATTATGCATTATGCAAGAAATTCTGTTAATAAGTACACACAATATGGAACAGAAACGGAACATGTTGCACGAAAATATTATATTGAAAAAGTAAAATAAAGTCATATAAATTTCCAATTTTTAGATACTGGTTTTCATGTGAGAGAACAATACCCCTTCATTGGAGCTTCTCCAGATGCATTGATTAGATGCAGTTGTCATCAAACTAAAACTTTAGAGATCAAATGTCCTTATAAATATCAAAATGGCTTTGAAGGATGGGAAGAAGATAAAGATTTTCCAATCAATAAAGATCTCATTATAAAAAAGGATCACAAATATTACTACCAAATTCAATTACAACTACATGTATGTCTCTGTTCTGAGGCTGATTTTCTTGTATTCTCCCCTGCAGTTAAAGGTGAACAAAATTTTATTTTAACAATTGAAAAAGATACAGATCTTATTCTCAAAATGATTGATAAGTTTTTTATGTATTTCAAAAACATTTTATTGCCAGAGCTTGTAACACGTCGTAATGATAAATCGACAATAAATAGTAGGAAAGTTTACTGTATATGCCAAAGACCAAGTTTTGGAAAAATGATACCATGCAATTTTACCAACTGCAAATATAAATGGTTTCATTACGCTTGTGTTGGACTGAAAAGAGCTCCAAAAACTACTAATTGGTTATGCAAAGAATGTAAAACCAAGCAATAAACCAGAACAAATATTACTTTCCTTTAATATGTATTTAGATTTTAAAACTGTAAAAATTGCTTCTCTGTAAATTTATTTTTACATTTACATTAATCAAGTAACTACACTCATATTGAGATTTACAAGAGCACAAATAATAATCATAATATCATCTAACAAATCCACTTGAGTGATTGGCACAGTCATATGAATAACGCGAAACTTTTTTATTCAACCAATCACTATTTCTACATGTATGCGAACATTAGATATCTGTTTAGATGTATCCACTTCCCATCCAGATAATTGTTGTCTACCTTTCGTAAATGCTGGAACTTTTAACGTTGCCCCAACAGCCTTTAGTTCATCTTTAATATTGAATCCTCTGTCAGCAAGAAAACAGTCACCAGGATAAAGCTTCTGACGAAAGTTTGACTCAAATGTTATTTGTTTGTCTGAAACACAACCACCCCAGCCAGGAGATAAAAAACTAACTGCCCCAGCTGGAGTAATACCAATAAGATATTTAATGGTATTTTTATGTTTGTAATTAGACCAAGTTTGTGATCGTGAAGTTAAATTTTTTGGCCTTTCAATAAATATTGCAGTACAATCAAATACAAACACAATCTTTGAACTTTTTTTTAAAACATATAGGAAGGTTACTCCTTATTATTCTACGGTCTGGCCAAACAATGAGATTAACAACTCTAGCAGAAAAAATTGGTATTATTGTTCTGAAAATTTTTAAAACTATTGCTGGGCTTAGTCTAAATCGAAAAGCAATATCTTTATTTAATAGACCTAATTTTAGTTTTATGAGTACAATTAAGAGATATTCCTCCAACAATAACCTTGAGTGAACTTTTTTAATATAATTTTTAACTCTTTCAAAGAGCCACATAAACGTAGTTCGAGACAAGCCTGAAAAAAAAATCATTTGTTCATCTGTTAGGTTTTGGTATGAAATATATTTATTATGGTCTAGTCTGGCATTCTTTTTTTTAAGTTCAATAATTTCATTAGATTTCTCAATCAATTCATTTCTGTATTGCATTAACTGAAAGTTAAGAGTTTCCACTTCTACTTTATAAGTATCATGCTGACAAAATTTAGAAATAGCTGACTTGTCATTTGGTGGATTTATGTCATTATTTATATTATCTTTATAATTATCAAGCTCTATATCATTTGATTGGCTAGATAGCAGTATTGATTTTTTGAAAGATCGTTTTTTACATAAAGCTTTATAGCAATCTTTTCTCTTCCTTTTTTTAATCAAACTAGAAATCGTAGCATCTCCAAGGTGATTAAATACAGATGGACTCCAGTCAACGTCAGATGGGTCATCAGAACGTTTCCCTAAAATATAACAATTATAATATTTAATTAAATATTAATTTAATTAAATATTATAATAAAATATAATATTTAATTGAATTAATAAATGTACCAAATATTATAAATTACTAATTTAAAGAATCTTATTAAACGTATTACTACGTATATAGTTTTATTAGCTAACCTCATTCATTAAAAGAACATACCTGATACAAAATGTGCACTGCATACTCGTTCTTTACTAATCTTTTCACTTTCCCAACTGTCCCAATCCTAACGATTAATAGCTTTAATCCAGTCTATTCGCCTTCTTTTCTCAAAAGGCGTTTTTCCTGATGAAAATTTATAAAATTTTAATCCACATTCTTTTTTAAATTTGTTTGAACAACCAACTGCACAACAACTGGTTGGCATAATTTATTTCTTGTTAAATTAGTGAATCAGTGAATAAATAACAATCAGTGAATAAATTTAACATAAATGTCTCAATGTTTTTACTTGAAAATTTCCGATTATTTGTTTTTCTACCTACAAGTTTGCGCGCGCATCTTTTTTTGAAAACGAGAATGTAAACATTTGAAACTCATCTATAGAACCACATTACCCCGTTTAGTGAGGGTAATGTGGACCTAAGTTATGTTTTTATCTTTTTT